TAAGGAATAAAGGGGTGACCAAAGTTCGCGAAGATTTTGAAAATATTAGAGAATGTGGTATTCGATCTATAATTTCTCATATTCTGTACAAATTTATTTATTTCAATTATTACCAAATAGACGGCAAAGTTTTTTTACTACAAATTCGTTCAACTAGAAAAGGATTCCGGAGATATCGCGATCTAAAGAAATTAATGTGGATCAGCGTGCGCGCTCGGCAACTAAAAAAGTCATAAAAACAACGAGACCTTACTTCGCGCACGGGAGTTAACAGCTGATTTACCCAAAAAATTCCATCCATCAAAAATAAGAGAATTTCATAATTTGCAAGGCAAGATATCATACAATCAGTCGGTACCACTTTTTACTAACAATTTTGAGGATATCTGCTCTCAAAATGATGATTTCCAGACTTTTATCGGTATTAAAGTTATGATATTTCGGAAAGGCCTCAAATGACTGCACAATTTGCCGATCTTTTGTCGATATTTTCATAATTTCACATTCAATTCCAAAGAAAATTTCGTCTTTGGGTAATTTTCCTCTTTTCATTTGTGATATCAGATTTTTGAAATCTTACCGATTTTTTGAGATAGCTAACTATTAGGTCACGGGCGAACTATGGTCACGTCACCATACATGGGATAAGATCGTTGTCCTAAATTCACAATTTAATTTGGACATAGGATCGTAAATTAGTATGAAAGGATAAGAGCAACTATCACAAACTTTTGGGGGTGGAAACTTTCAGGGGAAGACGTTGGTCTAATGGCAACAGCAAAGCACGCAACTGCACACCAGAAAGAAAAAAATAATACATTTCCTTGGGAGAGTTAAATATTTTGAAACGATTTAAGAGGGAACATTTATTCAAAGCTGTAAGGGGGCTTTTAATCACAGAAGTTACTGCATTGAGACCAAATGCATTGTGAAAATATCTGTTGAGAAAATTTCCCCAATGTATAAGGTTTTAAGAGAAAACGGAAGATTGCCGCCATTATATCACCGCGACATACAACAATAAACCCCTACCTATTTTTGATATTGTCGTTAATCCATGCAAGATAAGATAAAATAAAAGAAACATTCATTTCTAGAATACCAATTATCTTGTCACATTATCGTCCACGCTCATATGCAAAATTATGATCGAGCACAGTACAGGCGCCATATAGATAAGAAAAAATATACAAAGAAGTAAAGACACAACATTTTAAAAATTAAGAATACTAACTTTATCTTGACAGCAAAGATACAAAAATATTAGACATACAACAAATTTTAGAATACTGCAGTTTTAGGTGGATTCTTTTTTCTTTCTTTTTTCCTTTTTTTTGAGGGGGAGGGGCACAAATGCAATAATGATACATATGACAATTGTTTTTCTTGACTTTTGATGGTAAGAACATGCCGAAGGCATTTTGGAATGCTTTGCCTTATTACGACCGACCAACTGTATCAAATGTATTAGCTTACTTCAATGCGCAAGTGTATTTACAACTATATGACAGAATCAGCGAATAATAGTAACAAATGCAATGTGCCCTAATTCTCCGTTGAAAATACGGTAGAGAACTTACTCGAATGCAGTGAACAGTTTAAGCGGTAAAGCCGGTTCATGACCGGGCACAACTATTTTTGGTTCCGCCGGTTTTGCTCAGCCTGCAATTCTACAGTCACATATTGTTTTAAGTAATGTATTCTACATTATTCTCTCTAACAAATCACGCTTTTAAGTCTACCGGCAATATGCTCATCCAAGTTGATAAGTTAGGAAAGTTATTGATTGAGAGAAAGAAGGAAGGAGAGAGGGGATGCAAACATGAATGATAAGAGGGTGCACAAGAACAGCGAAGACGGAGAAACTTGAGAGAAAAAGAAGATCAGACACATTACTAAAGGTGCTCTGTCTATCCACAAGGCTCTAATTTTCTGACCCATTTCTCCGGAAATCCGTCAAATTGTCTCACGATTTGGCATTAAAGGTCGTATTTCAATCCCCATTTCCCTTGGTAATTTGAAATTCGGTGTGTTCTGCTTTCACTTCCAGATGTATGATAACCACCTTTAGATCCGAATATTCATTCATGCATTTTTCATTTCGCTAAAACACTTTGCAAAAGAAAGAAGTCTAACTTTAACTGCGTGTATCTTTTGTTTGCTTTCTCTTAAGTGCGCATGTGAATATATTTTAATCATATTTTCTGCATGAACTCAATATAGAGATTATATTCTTTCAACTGTAAATATCTCGTGTACGGGTTTTTAAAATGATTATTTACAGTAAAAAATAAACTTTGTGCTAATCCCCTCTGAGTTTCAACAGCTGGTTTATTAGTTCTTCGTTTTTGAAAGGAATTAGGAATCACTTTTTTGTGCTCAAATCTCAATAATAGAAAATAGACTATCTGAGTGAGATATCGTCTTATACATTTCCCTCGATAATTTGGAGTTCTGTGTCTTCTGTGTCCATTTCCACATTTATGACAACCAAATTTAGCTGCGAATATTCATGCTTGCATTTTTCATTTCGCAAAAAAACACTTTGCGAAAAAAGTGTAACTGCGTGCATATCGTATTAACTCTCTCTTACGACCATACGGGTTTATACTTAAGTCATATTTTGTGCGCGATTGTTGAAATCAATATAGAGATTCATTCTTTTCAACTGTAAAAATGTCATGTATGTTTTTTTATTTTATTATTCACATTAAGAAACAAACTTTGTGCAAATCCCCCCTGAGTCACAACAGATGGTTTATTAGTTCTTCGTTCTTGAAAGAAATTAGATATGACTGTTTGAGCTTGAGCTCAAATCACAATAATAGAAAAAAAGACTATGGGGTATTGTTTTATACCTTCTCCTTTTCCGGTACTTGTTTATAGGCGTGTGTGCGTGTGTGTGCGTGTGTGTGTGTGTGTGTGTGTGTGTGTGTCCGAGGGGAACTGATTGTCCTTATTTCTGAGGGAAGTCGGTTTAATAGCAAAAGTTAGAATTGTTCGTAATACTGACAAGTTTGCAGTCTATATTAAAGCTGTCTAATAACAATAGGGCAGTCGGTAGTGTGTGGTTCCAGGGATGATGTCAAAGAAAAGAGCAAGTTTATCACACCTTTGTCCATGCATCTCTAATGTAATTTAGAAAGATGAAATAGAATGATAGATCGCGAAGCAGTGTATAGGAGCAACACCAATTAACACACTGCCACGGGAGACAAATATACAGTATCTCTCAACGAAAGGAGATTATACAAACCTGTTGAAAGAAATCGTAAAGACAATAGAATAGATTATGAAAGCGCATAGGAATCGCTAGGTAATAACATCCACGTTTGTCCTCGTGTGGAGAGAAAAAATGTTGAAAATTATTGATTTTTAGGAATTCTACATCGAGCACGGAATGAATACGATCGGAAACAAAATATTGAGGAACATCTTCCAAGATAACGAATAATTTCAAAGTTGATTCCCCCCCCCCCCCCCTCCCTTCTCCAATCTACCATCCTCCACCCACGCAGGATGATGCGAGGGGGATGAAATGTGAAATGGATGTTGTTCCCTCCGGAATTAAAACATCTGCTGCACTGATACATTAAATCTTTCTTTAGCTGGAAAGGCTACAGTACATCATGAAAATACCAACAAGCAATACTAATACAAGAAGAAGTCGGGATTTTGTGGGGATTTGTGTCATGAAGCTTGAATAAACTGTATAGAATGTGTTTTTAAAGGGAAAATTCAAATTGGTTATCTACATGTACATGTATGTGATGATAAACATGGACAACCTGGTTTTGATATATATTGGTGACACAAAATATTTGTGTTAAACATTCTGTATAAACTATCCATTATTCATCTCAAGCTCAATCACGTCAATCGAACGCATTATTTAAGTGATGTTGTGGTTTAATTCAGATGAGGAATAATTGCTTTGCTCTTTTCAAATCAGCCCGATGTTGACTGCAAAGTTCATTTAGTCTATTTCTTTATCTGAATAGATAACCTAACTTTCGAAGATTTATGACAGGATAATGGATACGATCGTGCCATTTTCTTTTGAAAATCATCAGTTTTGTTCAAAGAGAATGTTCAGTTCTGATAACTTGGACATTTTGTTGCTGAGCATTTTTATTGGGTTTCATGTGAAATAATTTCTTTAACTGAAGCTTGTATAGGCCCTAGAAAATCTGGATGCCGCATACAAAAAGTTAATAACATCTGTGATTTAAAGACCCGTTGGTCCAAACGGGTGTATCATGGTGTATCAGGTGTCTTAATGATCGGTGCATGGAGTGGTATATTGTGATAATTTTTTTGCATGTTCCAGCTACCACTTAAAATCTATGCATGTATTTCTTTCATTAACATAACTCGATTTGACCTTGAAATTGTTAACAAGTGGCAATTGTCCGAATGGTGAAGTTCTTTCAGTTTCTCTAGATCCTTTTAATAATCGTGATTGATGACGATGGATATTATAAACGTCGAGGGGAATGTTGTGCCTTCTAACTTCAACAAACATTTTTAGATATGTGTTGTTTTATTATTATCTTTATTGTTATCATTATCAATTTTGTTGTCATTATTGTTTTGATGTTTTGTCTTTATTATCATTATCACATTATCATCATTTAGTACTATAATCGTGATCATAATCATTGAAGTTGTTATTTATTAAAGAGAATTTTTCTTTAAATGACCAAAAAATGATGATAGATTTCAAGACTTACAAATATTAATTTTACCTTCATCATTCTTTTTTTGGTTTTCGCCCTTCGTTTTATTGATCAATTTAAAACAATACAGTTTGCACATCATTTTATTGTTTTGTATTTTCTTTCTCTTTATCTCTCTACCTATTATTTCTAACCCTTCCTTCCTTTTATCCTCATCCTTCCTTAACACTGCCTTGATTCTCTGTCAATCGGACATTGCCCCCCCCCCCCCCCCCCACCACCACCACTACATCCACCCAACCCCGCTCCACCCTCCCACAGGTGTGGACCGGCGCCACAATCAGTTCACCTGGGTATCTACCAATGACCCTGACAATACGGCCACCACCAAGGCCATCCGCATGAGCTCCACTGCGGGCCACTTCGAGTCGATCAGGAAACACTGCGGTCATTACAACGCCAATCACAACACGTCAGCTATCTAAACAAAGCGCGCATCATCAAGGTTCTGCAACCGGCCGGATCGAGTTCCAACCCGTTCCAACCCGTTCCAACCGCCTCGTCTACTAACAAGGCCCGATCTTGTTGCACGGCGAATCTCGCTGGTTGTTGCGGCGCTGGGTTTTAACACCGTAATTTCATGCAGTGAATAATCACCAGGGATGCTGGACATGCCATCGGATCTGGAACTCGCTGCTGAGAATATTTCAATAAATTTGAGCGGTTCAGGTTCGGGATCAACATGAAAAGGGCGATCGATGATCTTGAAGTTCGACTTTTATCTATATTCTAAAGAGCGGTTTGATCATCATTTTACATTGACTGGAAGCAACAACCTTTGAATTGTTTTGAGCGCATAACTGAAAAGCAAGGAAATGCACAAAAGGGGAAGATGGTAGGCACATATTTGCTTAATTAATACACTGTGGTCATCGCGGAGAAAAAAAACATGACAGCAAACCAGATAGTTCCCTTTTTCCTCAGAGGATGCGAAAGTCATCCCGTTGAACTTTAAAAACTGGTGTTCAATCTCAGAAGAAGAAGGGAAAAAGAGGATGAAACTCAGGTACATGCCCCCATTTCCATCGCCATAGAGGGAGTCGATCAACAGATCTTATTCATCGGGCGATGCCTATAGACAGCTTGATAGTTTATATTTCCAATAATTGTGTAGTCTGTCGACTAGGTGTCACGTGATTCTGATGCTTGGCGCCCAATGTCGTGATCCACGCTCAGCAACTGGTGACGTCAGACTCAGTCATTCGCCCCCCCCCCCCCCCTCCCCTATACTAACGTCGGAGTTATAATTCAATGGATTATCCAAGTCAATTCTTTACATTTATATAGAAACGATGATAGTGCAAACTGTTACTATTCATCACGCATTTTGACATTGGAATTCACTTCACTCAAGGCATATTTGCAATTCTTTCCCGGCGTAATTGTCCTGATGGTGACCCACGTAGGATTTCTGGAATTAGTTGATTTTGTTTAATTTCATTTGATAGGAAAATACGTTCCAATCTCATGGTGTAAAAGAAAATGTTCTCTATAATTTCTCAACAAAACAATATAATTTGAAGTAATAAAGTAATGTCATTTTAGAATGAAGAGCAGAGAAAGTATATATTCTGAGCCAGGTAAACAACATTGAGTAATGTTAGGTAGGAGAAAGGGTATACTTGAACTACACATGTATTTACCTTGTATTTTTCCCTTCTAACGTCTTACGTTGCCAATTTAGCGAACTATATTTTCCTGTAAATCTAATACGAGTCTTGTACATACTAAGTGTGACTGATCTTTCAAATGTTGCTAGATTGTCTTTAGGATGGACCGCCCTATTATTATGTGTTTTGCTGAACAGTTAGGATACAAAGAAAGTAGTTGGATTTTTTTTCTTCTTGTTTTTAAGTTTTGTTTAATCTTCATCTTTTCGCTGAGAAGTCATGTCATATTTTTCATCTTCAGTTTTATGATACTTCTTATTATCATGTTATTGCTGTGTTATTTGTATGATGATTATCAATATCCTGATTGTTATATCTTTATATTCTTGTTCATCATATTTTCTTGTTGGTATCCTCCTGAAATGCGGCTTCGTCTGTTTAAAAACAACCATTCAGAACATTTCGTGTACCCCTAAAGAGTAATTTAGAAACCATTTAGTAGAAAGAAATTTAGAAACCATTAAAGGGGAATACTACTTTAGCAACGGGTTGGTATAAATAAAAATAAAAGATATAGATCAGTACACGTTTGAGAACATGCGATAAGAAAAAGAAAGTTATGAACAATAATATTGTTTAGTCTTAAAAACTGTAATCGATCAAACACAAATTGACAAAACTGTGACGTACCTTTGGACGTACCTTTCCAATTTGTTCTATAGTGCATGAATTCAAAACTATCAACTTTAGAGGAAGAAAATTTAAGATTTTACAAAATTAGACATTTTTTTTTGTACAGCTCTAAAGATTTATTTGTTCCTCAGAACAACCTTGACAAGTGAAGATCATGTTCTTGTCAGGGTGGACTCTCCTTTAATTCTACTATGTTGCCATGGCAACAGTCGCATGAAGTCGTCTGCAACAACGTGCTGACTTTAGTCTAGAATGTGTAAAGTATTGTTTAAAAAACATATCTATATCATAAAAAAAGACCGTATATGGATCAAACTTTAAGGCAGTGCTTGCATGCCGTAGGCTGACGACTTTAAAATGTGAATGATTAGAAGATTTGGAGCTACAGTGGTATTTTCATGTATGACAGAATGAGATAAGAACTGCCAATGAGGACTATTTGCATCATTCTCAGTAATTGTTAATATAGGTATTGTTGTTTAGGCTAGTCTATAGGCCTTTTCTCCAAGAAGGGGTATGTGTTAAGTATTTGTGCGTCGACACATTCGTATATAGTATTGTTTAAATGGTTATTTTACATTTGAAAACAAGACCCAACCAGATTATTTTGAAACGATAAAATGTCGGAAATACCGTATGTTAAAAAAAGCATGACATTGTTTTTCTCACTAGAACGAATCGCAATTCAAATTCTTTCGACATTTCATGTCTTTTTTAAAGAAATCTGTCACTATCTTTTTCGCTCTTTTTGATTTTACTTTCATTTGTTATCCGCTATTTGTTGATAGATTCTGAATTTCCTGTAAAGAGAGATTTGAATGTCGGTTTGCAAACGGTTTACAATCCACACGGATGAAGACAACTTCTCTATGGACGATCACTCCGGACGATTACCCCGGCGAGAACAACGGCCCGAGGACAACTACTCCGTGGACAGTTACCCCGAAAACAACTACCCCGAGAACAATTACCCCCGAGGACAACTACCCAGAGTACAACTGTCCGAGACATTTTAACCCTGACAAATAGCATTAATGACGACTAAAACGTATGATATGCATCTAGACATTTGCTGATTTGACGACAATCAACTCATTTTGCAAAACTAAATTGAATGGATGTAATTTTCTTGATACTAAACGGGTAATCTTTGCTAATTACCATAATGAAATTAGGACTTACCCATAATGGATTAATATGTTTCTCCATATTTGCAGATGAAACCACATAAAATGACACACATTACACATGTACTTTGTATACACCCGAACTATACATAACACTTTTTATATTAATTTGTAAAAATATGATTAATATCATTTATCATAATTGATCCATTGATAGCCCGGGATGGCCAAACGTGGATCCATGAAGAGCCATGAGCTGTAATTTCATAACCTGAAGACTGTAATGAATAGGAATTTTGATGAGAACCAATTCCTTGTTAAGGCAGACGACCAAGGACCTGACACCCCCCCCCCCCCCCCCCCCCCCCCCCCCCCCCCCCCCCCCCCACTCCGGGGTCGGAATGACCGCATGCGTGTTACCAAAATGTCCGGTAAAGGGGTACTTTTCACGCACCAAAGTCCGGCTCGTACATAGACAAAATTGACTTTACACACCGGACTTTGGGGGTGTTTTCCAAAGGAGGGAACACGCATATGCGTATACCCTAAATAACACTAAGTGGGGGCCTGACACCAAGATCTGATACCAAAGACGTGAGACCAGACATCGGTCCAGAGCCCCCAACGAAAGATATGTGACCAAATACTGTTACAATGAATGGAGACCAACAAACTAAAAAGACCAGAGAATTAAAGGTACACTGTCCTACTTGTAGCTACTTGCTCCCTCTATAGAAAACTTCCCCAATCGGTGCATGTTGGTCCCCCATGATCCTTTTTTACTTATGTTAAATGAGAGCTGAGTTAATGAGATAGCCACCTGTCACAGTGACCTCGCTGGCTCGCTGGGTGGTCTAATCCCTTCTGGCTGAAGTAGTAGCCTGCCTTTAAGGAAAACAAAAATACATATTATTCACCAAATTATCAGGACGAAAGACCTATCATGACCTTAGGGAATCGAAAGACCTGACTTGCAAACACCTTGGACCCTAACAGAAGACCTTTAACAAAGACAATCCCGATAGGTAAGATCAAATCCTAAGATCAGAAAATTTAAACCTAGGCAAAGTCCTCATCCTGCCCAAATCTACACCCCCATTTTTCAAAAGTGGGATAACATTCATGGAGTACATCACGGACCGTTGAAGAGCGACGGAAGAAGACGTCCCATCGATTTGAACAGCCCTTGTCATTAGAAAATACAAAAGCATGTTAAGTCGAACGGGCATGACTCGTAACTCATATCAAGAAAGAACTGCCATTCAATTTAAATATAATATTATTGACTGACATACCAATACTGGATTACTATAACAATATATATATATATATATATATATTAGGTTACACATACATGACCATTAGTGACTATATTGTTTCAATTTTCAAAATGAAGAATGAAACGTACATTGGGCTGGAATGTGGCCCGAAAGAGGGCTCGATCTGCGGCAATACCCAGAAAAGAGCTGTGATAGATGGATCACAAAGTAAGATCCCTGCAAGATTGCCTTCTCATCTTCGGAGCTATTTAAGTTTGTGCAACGAGGAATAAGATATATGACGTCTTCATCAGGACCTAGACTAATATAGAACACTGCGTTGATGCAACTTCAAATCTTAAAATTGCCTACAATAACATTCATGTTCTTTTTACGCTGCATTGCTTCATTGAAATTCGATGTCTCTGAAAATCATATACATGGCTAAGAGCTATATCGAAAAGTAGACAAAATGGCCCAAAGTATCACTGTGATAATGAACCTTTCACTATCTTGCTGATTTAAGGATTTTAAAGCTTATTTACTTTAAATTGCATTTTAAATAAAATCATGCAACAAAAATGGTCAGCATCTGGTATATCTTTAAAAGTTCTGAATACAAAAGAATATCCACAAAATCTGGAATGTTGTCTCGAAAGTCAAAATTGTTAGAACAGATTACTCGACCGATCGCGACTGACTGACCAACTAAATAAGAAATGACTGACGGATTACAATTTTCATGACATTGGCCTCATTACTCTTGTCCACCAAGCTGGGGTACCCGTTACCATGTATTAATGAACAATACAAATGAAAATAGGCTCAATTGAAGACAAAAATCAAAATGTGGCCTAAATTGCTACCCCTTGCACTTTTTGTCAAAAAGAGCATTTTCTTTAATTTGATTATAATTTTGGCCTAAATTGCTGAACTTGCCCCTTATAGTAGTTTTTGCCAAAAAACTCACCCCCCCCCCCCCCCCGCCCCTTAATTTGTTTTATGAATGAAATTTGCCCCGATACCGTTTTTCGACATCCTGGGGTTTCGACCAACTTCCATTTCGACCAATACCTTTGACATCTGTTATACGAACAGAACTTAAACTCTGACCTATTTCTTACCTTTCTCAAACAGCAAGAGCGAAATGACTCTAAACTGTGTCCCGTTTCATAATCTTTTTGTCACTTATAACAGTTACAATAAATGTTATAAGCTACTGAAGTTCCTGCATGTGATTGGCTGAGAGCAGATTTGTTATAGAATTTTGGCATTTGTTATTGATGAGAAGTTTTATGAAAAAGGGCCTGGTCAACTACACTTCTGACAGACCGACAGGGTAATGACCTACATGTACTTCTAAAAAATAAAAAATAAATCGGACCATGGAAAATACCTTTTTAAATCAGGAATCTTGTTATATCAGGGTATTATATATTGCATAATTGAAATAACTGCCTTTGACTTAATATAGGTTTATATTTCTTAAAATAATGAACGCTTTATAAACTCCACGATCTCTAGTCTCTGCAATTAATGCCGATTCCAAAACTACATCAAAACTTACCCAAGTCAGTTATACCAACTTTAGTAGCAATTATCTTGTGATTTTGTTTTCTTCATTTTCTTAATGAATGTACATTATTGTATATTGTGACATTAATGAGCGTGTTGTAAAATACATTGGGGTACATCAAATACTAAACTGAGAAATGTACATGATCCTTGTTGGATGTACAAAGTCGTCTTTGTTTTACGTATATTTAAGGACAACGTAACATACGTGTATAAAGCTGTTATTCTAAATGAAATGTATTTTGTTATTTATATAATTGATCAATGTTATTTACAATATTAAATTATATCTCTATCGTGTTTTGCAAAGTGACCTTGTTTGTGGTGATAATTTTGTCTAGTTTTTGAGAGTTCTTGAAGGAGAATGGACTCACAACAAACACTACCTGATGAACCTCAAATACATTTGCATTTTCCTTGCTAGACGTTCTTTCATCAGAGTCGCCATTTCGATTTAAAATTTGTGATACATGTACATCCATTGACCTTTCCAATGAAATATGAACCTGGTGTTGCATAATGATTGGCTGTTTGTTACGAACGTTAACGAATCTAATTAATATCGATATTGACACACAGAGTCCCACTCACATAGCTATGTAGTGTTTTGAGACTCTCGAGGATATAATAATGCACATGTATGTTCCTCCAAACAAAACTCTGATCTGGTACTACTCGGAAGCCAGAGCATCAAAATGGCAGCCCCCGTGAAAGGATGTCAGCTGTTTTGGAGGGTTTCATTGTTTGCTTTATCTCTAATTTTGTCCATGTATTTATCTTGTTCCATCTTAACTCTCTGATTCCTATTTTCTCTCACTTAAGTATATTGACACGAATGAAAGAAGGCTCTCTGAAATCATTGGTTAAGTAATTATATTACATAAAAATTTATTCATGACTATTTATCTTACATAATAAAGTGAACATAGGCTTCTATCCTGGTTTGGCGGTATTAAAAGACAGAACATGCAATGTCCAAGTGTACATACATCATGGTCAGGATTAATCTATAGATTTTGGAAATACTTTTAATTCAAATTTTGAACCTTGTGGGATCTTATAATTAGGCATTATTGAAATGCCCCCCAGAAAGGTAACATCGAAAACAAAAATAATATTTATAGATTCTTTTCCCCTTACTCTCCCAAGACAAGCTATTATTCTTAATTTAAGTGCAATTACCCATCGACTACTGAATTCACTCATTTCCATAGTCTTTTATGTATGAACCACCTGGTTCCAGTATGCAAAGAGTTAACATGTGATGTAACCGTATAAAGTAATACAAATCTCTGGCGCTTAGCCATTACAACCCCATATATAAAAATAGAAATAAGAACGCACAAATCTACAGAAGTGATGTAAATCACTATAATTATATTATGCGTGTGTAGTTTTATTTTCTGTGTTGCATTATAAATTAGGCCAAATGAAGGCTAGAAATTCTCAATACACACTTTTCTCCCTTACTCTTCTCAGTAATTGATTTTGTGTCACTTGCTCGCCAACTCCAGATTTATAACGATCACCATTACGACATTATGTACATGGTATCTTGGGGATGGATTGACGTGAAAGAATGAAGAGTAAATTTGTTAATTCATAGAGTGAGATCAAATTAAGCAGTCTACCATTTTTTCTGTCCCATCTTTACGACGACACTTACTGATTTTATGCCACTTAATGTATTTGCCAGTCAGATTCGTTTTCATGAAAATCATGACATTGTGTACATATTAAACAAAATGGGGTAAAATGAAGGAGTTTTTATATTTTATGTAACAAAATGAGGATGCATAATGACATGTAGGCCTACCTACATGAACCTACATATTTATAGAACTAATCAGTGCCTGTCTTGGTTTCCTCAAATCTAGACTCTGAGTAGAATTGACGTAATTCACATACTTTGTCATATAGTACAGAGAAAATATACATATTTACAATTAAATCTAACCATTCACAATTCACAAATATAATCATAAATACATGTACTATAAATGGACTCCTTACAAACAAAATGACACAAAAGACTCTCTCCCATCACCCCCCCCCCCCCCCTCTCCCCCCATCCCTCCACTCAAAGTCACTTCAGGTAAATTTTGAAGAGCGACACACCTATGTTTCAAATATCATATAATTGGAACATCAGGTTCCTGCCTTCAAATGATGTAATTCAATAATTGATGAACTATGTGGGTATTCTGGAACAGTAATGATCTTATCACATGTATTTGGTTACTATTTAATTGAATAAAGCTCCCATGTAATTGATTCAATTAAGCACAAGCACTTTTTTCTCCTTCTTCTTATCACATTCAAACAATTAGAAACGCAATGACAAGGGGAATGGGCATGGAATAGAATTCTTTAAAGTAGACAAGAATGGGAAATGTTTGCTAAATTGTTAATTCACTTAAGCACCTGTTATGTATATTTCTTCATTAGCAAAGGTCTATTTGAATGTCAATTGAGTCGAATGAGTCTAAATATATTAATACTGAAAGTTCACTGTACAGAGAAAGAAGTGCATTAGCTGCATGCGATGTAACACATTACATATATCTAAGCCAAAAACATGATAACGGGCATTGACATGAGCAAAACATACTGTATATTGACAACGAATTGGGATGGATTTTTAATTCAGTAATTGACATTAAAAAAAACTTCTTCTTTTATAAAATCTTGATCTGTGGACTTCATTGACTCCACATAAGGCAATCTTAAATGAAATATCAGTAATTATATTAATTTGTTTCCTAATTAATTACATTAATTCAGCGATGTTGATGAGAAGTCGTAAACTAGTTCAATTAATTAATACAGTACAATTTACATTGTGCAGTCTGCATACATTAGAAATTGATCAACATTGTTAAAAAGCTTGAGACAATCAAAGTTAGATATGAACCAAATATTTATCTACAATCAAGTTCAACTATGAATGAAGGAAGTCTAGCAGTAAATGAATTAAGTGTAATCCAACCATGATTCGGTGTACACCACATCCTTCTACTTTGTATCTCTTGATTAATCAGTTTAATTCAAATTTCACCACACTTTGGTTTGAACCTTGACAAGAAAACTAGTACCATCATAGTGATTGAAATCGGTAAAAGAAAATGGTATCCCTTTAAAACTTATATAGCAATGATCATGACAGTAAAAAATGTATTATTTACAATGTATATAAATTTAATTAACCACTAATTCTTTATCATGCTTCATAGCTGTACATACAAAATCACGCCACAAGATATGGGGAATATACTTTTGAAGGAAGAAAAAAAATCACATCTAACATAGTATTTAAGTCATTGCATGCAATCACTTATATCTGAAACAAGAAAATTATTGTCAAAGTTTGTACGCATCATCAAAGATTGCTTTCTTATTAGTTTCACAGGCAGCGCTACACATATTTAACGTGCATGGGATAGTGGCATTAAAAACCAAAGTCAGTCAATTGCACAAGATTGTCTACTTTTTTTTGTCTGCCTTCACAATGTATCAAAATCCAATACTTTATATTTCTCCTTATTGCATATAGCTCTCTAAATCTTCTAAAAAACTAGTGAAACTCTGTTTTACTGGCATGCACATCCGCCGAGTTGTTGGAAAAGCACTTCGGGTGTAATATCCCATGCACATAATTATCTTTGGTATTGATTGTCTCAGACATTATTTTGATAAAAGTATTCATCCTAGCAAAAAGGAAGTCTTTGAAATGCATTCTTCTAAACTGGTCATAGACCATACTTGTTTCTCTGATGAGGTTTTATAGAAGAAATATATGAAGCTTCAAAGTCAGTTCCACATTCTGAGCAAAGAAATGAAGAATGTAAGCAGATCAAGCGACTTCAACAGATCGGCACCTTTGACCCTGATATCAGTATTAAGAGCTACAGTGTAATAGCGGCCATATGCAGTAAGGAGAAGTACGTTTTCAACTGACAAACTTCTTAAATTTACTATATGATGTAAACACTACAATTTCACTATAAATAAGGCAGTGTAAAACCTTTCCACATATCATTCATACACAAATGAACTGAGACAAGCTACTAAATATGAAGATTTGAACAATTATAAGAGCCACATGTTAAAAAAAGCAAGACACTTGGTGATCTGTTTTTTCTTCTCCATTTTATCTCCTCCCAATCCCTTAAGAATATGGACAGCAGTTGAGATGGCTGAATGACCAAGAGACCTGCGACAGTTGCTCGACAGTAATTTCCTACACTAACCAAATTCTAAACTTCAACCCTGGACCTAACACTATACCTAAACTTAAACCTACCATAAAACCCAATCGCAACCCTAACCATAGGTTTGATAGTATAGCTTTGAATAAATAAAGCCTTCATGAGTTGTCGCTGGAGAAAATGTCAGATCTCAGTTGGGACTTGTGAGGGTGAAGATGGAAACGTTCTGGATTGAGTCTTGATATGTGAATGACCCCCATTCAAAACTGTCGTCATAGCATCCACAAACCTCTTTTGCTCATTTCACCTGGAAAAAGATGGCGACGAAAGGCAGGGATGGACGCAAAGATCATCTTTTTGAGATTTGTGGGAGGTGAAGGGCTGGTGCAACAAAGGCTACTTACAACAGGATGCCCCTCCACCCCTCCCCCCCCCTTCCAGGACAGACAAACCACAGGTGCATTGTCATCAAGGCATCAGGTTTCCAAAGAGGGCCTTTGTGCCTATTGTGTACGCACTTTCTGTGGACCTAGAAAACAGATACAGAAGCAAGAGGTATGTAAGTGATCTACATGAATGACATGTATGAGACTTTATCAAATTCCCAAAGAAATACAACGTAAAGAGTAATAATGAGCAGGTTAAGTGCAGAAGACACTAAAAGTAACATTGCCAACAGCAAAATGACCTTGTACAGATCTAGATAAGCAGAGGCCTTTATTTGTCAAAGTTGGTCCAATTGTGTGGACATTTTCTACACATAATGCACATTCAAAAAATAATATTATTATCTTACACAATTATCTAGTCAAGACATTCAAATAGCAATTCCGACAGCAAATATTTAAGCCCGTTTCCCCCCCCCCCCCCCCCCCCCTCATACAGAACATGACAGTGATCCAACATTTGCTCCAACGGCAATTGCTCTGGGCTTTATTTATCCAAAGCTATACGATCAAGGCTTGGGTTTTATGTTGGGTAAGGTTTAGGGTTATATAGTGTTGGTTCTCAAGATGAATGTAGGGATTTAGAATTAGTGGTGGGAATTCACTGCAGAGCAATTGTCGCTGAAGCATGTGTCTCCAACAACTGAACTTGAGCCCAGGAACCCATTTCACAAAGCCTTTTTTCAATGACAAATGACAAATGACAAAACATCAGTGACAAAGCTGCTGATAACCAATCAGAAGCAAGGATTTCAGTAGCTTATAGCAACAACTGTCATTTGTCACTGATGACAAGTTTTGTGAAACACCCCCCAGCAGTCTTACATGTATGGATTTGAAAGCATTGCATTGGAGCTCATCCTCACATGGTGTCAGAGCTCATGTCCTGGTCTGCGTTATTCTCTTTGAGTGTGGAAGGCATCTTATGCAGGTGGTGGCTCCTGCCTCCTCCTCCGGTGGTTCCGCTGATGAGCTGGTTAACCCTCTTCTGAAGTGTTTCATAGTCGCGTTTCATCTGTTCACTGTCAGACTGCGCCTTGCCAAGTTGCTATAATAATAATAATAATAAAAACGTTACTTTAAGCACTTACCATCAAAGTCTCTAAGCGCTTTAACAAACAAGATAGACTGATAAACAATTTCATATTAAACAAAACAAATAATAAAAACGTTACTTATAAAGTGCTTACCACCGAAGTCTCTAAGCGCTTTAACAAACAAGATAGACTGATAAACAATTACATATTAAACAAAACAAAAAAAGTGCAAATAAGGTACCTACAAATTACAATACTGTACATATGAAATACACATCATTGTGAAAACAGAGTAAATTAATCATCAAAAGCAATGCGGGAGTACAAGAGAGAAACCAATAAAATTATCAGTTTTGTTACCAACTCGGTAGAGAAATGGAATCGACAAGAAACAGTCAAGAAACAATATATCGAGGGGTCAGTGACACAAAGAAGTAACTCCATTTTTGGCCATTTTGAAAAAAAGGGGTTTATGTGTCACTGAGCACTTGGGCCTTAAGGAGCTAAGTCTTATGTTTCACGAGCCTTTGACTTCAATAGAATGTTGGGTGGAGTTAAGTCTTTGTGTTTCCTGAAAAGCCCACATTTTTTTAACATCTTGATATCAAATACTCATTTTGGCAAAATATGGAGATACGTCTTTGTGTCACTGAACCCTCGATATATTCAAAGATGCAACATTAATCCCAGTGTAAGGCCCTTACTTGCAAACTGAATGGTCTGTAAAATAAATTCATATCCAGTCTGCTGATATAGACCTGAATAATGTTTATTACATGTTGTAAGAGTTCTTAAAGACACAATAAACTCTACCTTGCTAATGAGTAATGTTATTTGCATTTTACTTCTTTTCCTAAGCTCTTCTTTTATTGGATGGTTTCATGTATCAGTCTACATGTAACTAAATAAACATACAGTACAAAGTACTACACAATGAATACATAAGCCATTGTTAGAAGTACAGATAATGCACAATTACATGTACATTGCAAATATTAAATGTATTAAATACAAATGGAATATTTTAGGATGAGACAAACAATGGTGGACAATTGAACATACATTTTCTTAGAAATTATCATCACAAATATTAAATCATCATCACAATCATAAAATAGGGCTTAATGCATTTATGCTCTTTCTGCCTTACTGAATTACTAAAAATGCCTACAATTTGGCCTCATTATTAAAGATATTGTTAAATTTTTAAATGATGCACACAAATATTTGTATTAAAGTAGGTTGATGATACAAAACCTTTTCTATCATGATTTTTAATCAACTGATAACTAATCAATCATTGTGGTTACATGGTGGTTAATAAAAAGTTAATGACTCTCTGAGAATACCAACAAGAATAAAGTGATGGCTACATTTAAGAAGGGCAATTCCATGTAATGTGTCCCATGCAACATATTAAAAAAAAAACTTTTGAATTGACTATTTCGGGTATCCTCAACATGAATTAGTCACATCAATTTGTTTTGCATTTTTGGCTGAACTAAATTTTTTTAAATATATGCACCGGAATTTAATGTTTGTAATACTGGACATGGAATCGCCATGAAGTTAAGTGGAAAATGAAAATAAGAACTTAATAGGCATATATAGGCATATACATGTTTGTACACAAAAGATTGAGGTACATCAAATGGCACTTTTGCTGAGTGATGTACAGCAGAAAAATAAACACATGTATATATGTAGAAAACTGGAGGAGGAATACTTTAGTGAAATAATGTTAATGTACACCTGGTAGTAGTGATTTTGCTAAAAACAACAACAAAAAATAATGAAATGTAAAAGTATAATTCAAATTGCCATGAATGGAAGCTACACGTAGGAAATCAACAAGAAGTGCAGGTGAATGGTACATTACACATGCTTCACATAGCAATTTCTGTCCAAAATAAAATCTTGTCAAAAATTAGCCTGTATTGCATTGCTGTAATGGTGCATGTTGTTGCCAGACAAAGTTGATGACAGAAACACAGACATTTTCAATGAGAGCATACAGCCATAAAACAAACCTTTTCAAGACTTTCAACCTCCTACAAATAAACAAAAAACAAGATATATTCTATTCCAACAGGCAAACAGCATACATCAACACATTTATATAACATTATCTCATGTACATGTAACATTCAATCACAAGAATTTTTAAAAGGGTCAATTTAGAGTGCTAGAGCAAAAGAACATAACACTGACGAGTCATCCTAAAGACCTAATCTCACACAAAAAATTAACATGTTTTTTTTTTCTGTTTGATTGCCTGTAGTAGAGACAAATGAATTGTCTGCTTTAAACTGTCCATTTCTTTCAAATTATAGTTTAACCATTTACATGAAAATGTAATTTTTTTTTGGAAAAAAAAACCCCATAGTACTTCAACTTGACCAGGTGTGAACTAGTGAACCTTTCTCAGATGGTTTATGCTTGCACTATAGTGATTTGATGAAGACATTCACTCTATCACTCTCTCTGTCTCTCTCTCTCTATCTCTCTCTCTCCCCTCTCACTCTCTTCCTCTCCCCCTCTCTCTCTCTCTCTCTCTCTCTCTCTCTCTCTCTCTCGCTACAGTGACAACGCGTCCTATATCATCCTACCCTCGAAGCAAGCAGAGGGCAATGACATATACTCCAAGAGGTCATACATGAGTTGATACATTGTGAATCATTGAGCAATGTTATTTCAACCTTCTGGCAAAAAAAAGGTAGAGAATACAAGCTAGAGGGGATTCATATTTCATATGGCCTTGATCACGTCATCCTATACGAGCTAGGGTTGTGTATATTAATTATGCTAAGATGTCATCTTAATCGATCCCCAGGGGTTAATCAATATAATCTGCTACCCAGCAGTGACAGGCACGCACTTGTAACGTCTTGAGAGTCAGTGTCGATACACACCAACAGATGTTTATGCCATAGTTTAATAATCCCCCCCCCCCCCCCCTCCTCCTCTCAAGGGACAAACGTTTGCTTCTTATCGGCGCGCCTGATAGCCAACAATTTCACCTGTCCCTGGTTAGTATGATTGATCTCTGCCATAATGAATAAACATTAATGAGGGACTACCGATAATTTCACAATGCTCTGAGCAAAACAAACACCTGCACGGCGAAGCCCTGCCACTGATGGAAAAGGAAATCTGCTTTTAAATGACAAGAGGAAAAACAATCGTATCTGAAGGCTGATGGATATTCTATTCATTCTGGCCATCAAAGACGTCACACTCAATTGAGGATAAAGCGTCCTACATGTACGTAGGTGATCTTTGACTGTTTGCCATGGCAATTTGTGTTCACTTTTCAGTTCTTCAAAGTTGTCTTGCAGATGTAGTTTTAATCAAAATTGTTAAGTGCTTAAGTCATTGTACAAATTTAAGTTACAGTACCATCCACTGCAGAACAAAATCAATAATATATTAATAAAGGATATAGATGAATTTGATAAAGCCTGCTAAAATTCCTAGCATGGCTGGTCAATCATAACAACATTCAGTTAAAATGAAAGAGAGAGTTAAAGAGAAATGAAGGAGAGGGAGAGAGAGAGACAGAGAGAGAGACATACATGTAGAGAGAATAAGAGAGAGAGAGACGGGAGGGAGAGGGAGAGGGATAAAGGTATACAGGGGGCAAAGGGTGTCTACAGTATATAAATAAAGCTTTAAAAAAGGAGGATTGAATAGGAAATGAGAAAACAGTGAGTTGGAAAGACAGAGAGAGTGTGCAAGAGATGTGCACATGTAGAGAAATTTCTAACACAATAAAAACAGAAACACAGGAAGATTGAAAACTACCTGTAATGAGGTGGAGAAAGAGAGACACACATGCACAAGAATAGAGAGAAGGGGTAGATAGAGTTTGTAGAGAGATTGGACAAGGAGAGAGTTCTAACAAAAGGAAACTAGATCATAGAGCAAGTTTGCAAACCAAAACGAAGAAATTTTTCAAATTCAAGTTTTATTGTAATCCATTAACAGGTTCTCAGAATATCATGATTACAAGCAATTTCTCATATACATATATGACCCTTTGATCTTTGACCTCATGACCCTAAAATCTACTCAGTTCATTGGCTCTGCAAGATGTCCTGAGTTAAGTAGTAATCCATCTGTCAGTTCTAATGAGAATGCGTTCACAAGCTATTTTTGCATACATAATGAGCCCATGACATTTGACCTTTGACCTCATGACTCAAGAATCTACTCAGTTCATTGACTCTGCAAGATACATATATGATCTAAGTTTGGCAGGAATCCATCAATCTGTTCTAATGAAAATGCGATCACAAGCTATTTTGCATACATAATGAGCCGCATGACCTTTGACTTCATGACCCCAAAATCTAATCAGTTCATCGGCTCTGCAAGTAACATACATGACCTAAGTTTGGCAGGAATCCATCAATCGGCTCTTGAGATAACGAGCTGTTTTTGCATACATAATGAGCCCCATGACCTTTGACCTCGTGACCCCAACATCTAATCAGTTCATCGGCTCTGCAAGATACATACATGATCAAAGTTTGGCAGGAATCCATCAATCAGTTCTTGAGATAACGCGATCACAGCTGTTTTTGCACATATAATGAGCCCTGTGACCTTTGACCTTTGACCCCAAAATCTAATCAGTTCATCGGCTTTGCAAGATACATACATGACCAAAGTTTGGCAGGAATCCATCAATCGGTTCTTGAGATAACGCGACCACGAGCTGTTTTTGCATATATAATGAGCCCTGTGACCTTTGACCTCGTGACCCCAAAATCTAATCAGTTCATCGGCTCTGCAAGATACATACATGATCAAAGTTTGGCAGGAATCCATCAATCGGTTCTTCAGATAATGCGATCACGAGAACAGGACGTACGAACGGACGGACAACCCGAAAACATAATGCCTCCGGCTACTTCGTAACAGAGGCATAAAAAGAAATAAGACTAATACGTGTACATGTATGGAGAGACACACACAGCATGGGGGTGTAAATGTGTACATAAAAGGCGGTGTCACACAGAAAAATCCCTTGAAAAATCCTTTCAAGGGAAAATTTTCTTGCTTCGTTAGAGGATTTTTAATGGGATAATTGATGACAGACAGCAATTAAGAGGATATCTAAAATCTTCTTTGTGGGACCACCTAAAGAGAAAGAAGAGTGTACTATAGAGGCGTGTAGAGCTGGAGAGAGAGTGGGAGAGGGAGTAGAGGTGGAGGTGGAGGTGGAGGGGGGACTTAAAGTTACAGGGGAGAAGAAAATACTTAATTTGCATTTTGAAAATACATATTGAAAATTTAGCCCATTTATGTGACAAAAGGCAAAATTATATGGTTCTTGGTTGTCAATAATAGTAGGATTTTTTTTATTTTTTTAAAAATTAATCCTCATCTCTTCTTCTTTAGGAGGAATGTCTTTTTTTTCATCCCTTTCTGCTGGTACATGTACATATTGTATTCTCTATAATTTCCTTAAATCATTGATAATTATTTCATCTTCTTTGTACATCTCTCTCTCTCTCTCTCTCTCTCTCTTTCTGTCTCTCATTTTGATTACTTTCCTTTTTTTTTTAATGTTCCTTTTTTTTCCCTCTCTTAAAACCTTTTTTCTTCATCCGTTTCATATCTATCTGTCTTCAATAATTTGTTTCTCATCCCTTCCATCTCTCCCTATTTCTCTAACTTGAAGCCAATGCCACCATAACATGAGCAGATAAATTAAGGTACAAATTTGAATTCACACTACCGCCCATGTTAGCCAGAGGGGATCTCGCAAGATGAAGAATGGTATACACACATCAATCAAAGCAGACTTTGGATCTTAAAAGGTACAGCTGCATTCACACATAACACAGTTAACTACCTGAAAATCTGCTTAGGAAAAATAAAAACGTAATTCAAACTACAGCTCAAGTTGGCCCATGGGGGTCTCAAAATCTAAAGAATAATATTCAAACATCAAGCAATGCATGCTTTGGATCTTAAAAGTTAAAGCTGCATTCACACAAAATAAAAACCTTGTTCATACTATAGCTCCAGCTGGCCTATGGGCATCTCAGCGGCTAAAGAATCACGAACAAACATCAATCAAATCAATGCAGGCGTTAGATTTTGCATCATAAAAGTTAAGCTGCACTCACACATAACACAGTAAACTGCCTGAAAAACCGCTGCCAAAAATTAAAAAAACACTAATACAAACTTAATGTATATTCCGAGTTGTATCTCAAAGCTTTTAAAGAATCACAAACACACATCAATCCAAGCATGCTCTGGATCTCAAAACCTAAACACTCATTCACATATAATGACACAGTAAAATGGCTCAAAATACTGCTACAGGAACCTAAAAAGTAAAAACCCATTCTATGTGTAAATGAAGCTTAGTTGGGGTGAACAAAATAAAGGTTCTTGAATTCACCTGTTACTACGTGATAATTTAGTTCACTAAAATACAGATTATATCCTCCTAGCAATTTGGAAATAGCAGACTTTATGAAAGAAAAATTGACTGGTCCCATTAAAAAATATTAACTTTAGTTTGTGGTTTACCATGTAAAATGTGAACAAGACTTAATTGCTTTGTCTCACTCAAGCTAGATTCCCTCTTAACATGAATTTACGCCGACGCTCATAGGCCTGTCTTCATCAGCTCGAGATTGCCAAATAGCCTGCTATTTCTGATTTTGGGAAATAATCTCCAAGTTCCAAGTCGCGTCTCCATCAGCTCGAGACTCGACCTCGAAACTTGAAACTCGAGCTCGAAAAATTAGCTCAAGATATTTTGCTCAGCGTTCGCGCATAGTGCAAGTCTTCCAGCTGGTGAAGACGCACCTGCCAAATAGCGAGATATTTTCTTGAGATTATCTCGACCAAATACCCCGCTAATTGCAACTTCGGGCTGATGAAGCCGCAAATTAACTGGATAATTTGCGAATGGGACAGTTCAAATAGCGGGTATTTGGCAATCTTGAGCTGATGAAAACAGGCCTAGTGCCTGGTGGAGGAGGAGGAGGAGGCAGAGATTCCCAACTCAACAGCTTGGGGAGATCCCAAGACATTCTTTTAATCCTGTCGGGATTAGCCTGGCGTCTCATCTTTCTCAATTTCCTACCCCAGGAGGGGATCAACATGTTAGAGGCTTGATCGGTTTCATTCGCCACGGTACAATGGTACATGTTTGCATTCACTGAAATTCTTGTCATCATTCCCAGAGCTGTTCAAATGACACTCTGTCAGAAAATGGTCCTACTGGCAACATTTTCTCTTAATTTACAGGGATTTACAGGTCAAGTGAAATCAATTGAAATGTCTAAATTGCATTGTTAAAGCCCTACTGCACTACTTATAGCTACTTGCGCCCTCTATACAGCCAGCAATGCCTAAGTGGTACCCGTTGATTCCCCATGATGCCCTTTTTCTTATGCTAATTGAGAGCTGATTTGATGAGATAACCACCTGCCAGTGACCTTGCAGGGTGGTCTAATCCCTCCATATCAAACTAGTGCAGATGGGCTTTAAGACAAGTCTAAACTTTCAGCCTAGGCTAAGCATGTGCTCCCCGAATGCCATGAGACTGCCCAAGGTTTAATGAAGGGTAATCCAACCCTTAATATGAGTTGATTTGAATGAAAGCAGACAAATAACAGAAACAGAATTGGAAAAGAGTTTGAAATGAATCATACCAATAGTAAGGAAGTTAATATGCATGTTTGAAATAAGAGATCACTAAGTCTACGCAAATCTCAAATTGTTAGTTTGGTCAGTGGATTGTGACGTAGGACGGGATTAACTCTCCCATTCACCGTGTACAAAAATATCATTAATTTCTGTTTTTCTCATAAGTTTTTTCTTAGGGCACTACTCAAAATATATTATAGAGAGCATAGGTTTATGTGAATCTCAAATTGGTAATTCGGTCTGTGGGAACTTAGTGAAAATACCTTTTTTAAAGTTCATTGAACTCTGATATTCTACGCTTTAAAGGTAATAGGTAACTTTGCCTTTGATTCTAAACCTTTAGGTCAGAAATGAATCCCATGATCTTTATAAGCCAATGGCATGTTCGATTATCAAGAAATTTCTGATTGGAATTTCGAAATTTCAGAAACCGTTTCCCAACAGTTTTGAACAGTTTTTTATAACACTAAAGTCTATTGGGGAAAATGAGTATGGTAAAACCGGTCACTCAAATATATTTTTACTTTATGGAAGTACTTCATGATTATTTTGAAGCCCGATTTCGGGGGGCTTCAATATTACACCAAATCACAGACACTGATAACACCTAGGGCCATGCATCTCAGATTGGTAAAACAGGAAACATGGTTAAACAATGCCTTTAATAATGAATACAAGTCTTACCTCTTTCAGGAAGTAGTTTTCAGACTTGACAGCCTGTAGATGATGTATCTTCTGCTTGGGATTTTGATGACCGCCTAACTCTGTGATCTTCTTTTCAGCTTCTTCGTACACTTCCTTCAATCTGGTCAAGTCCTGTAAATGAAACGGTGAAATGGATAAATGAAGGTTCTCGAGCACAGATAGAGTTTAATTTAGAAAATGTAATTGTTGGTTTTGAAGACAAAAGAAACAATGCTTTGAATTGCATGATGACTTTGATTAAGCATCAGCTATTTGTACAAAAGCTTAATATCAAAATTCCAAATTTTAATTCCTTGAAGACCAAAATTATTCAACATAAAGAAGACGAGAGGTATATTCATTCTATATCTGGAATGTATAACAAGATTTTTACTAAATGGCAGTCACTGCAACATTTGTTTGTATAACAACAAGGAGAGAAATGTTAGAGTATTTTGTTTTATTTGAGTTAAAGAAAGACCTCATTTAATTAATTTGTAAATTGTTGTGTTTGACTAAATAAAATAGCCAATGGAGGGCTAAAGTTTTTTTGTTCAAGTCCTGTAAATTGAGAGGCAGAGACATTAGTTGTTTTGGGGGTCAGTTTTCTGCCCTGTTACATAATGACCCACTCCCTATACTATGGGTATTTGCAATGTAATGACCGACATTCTATGGGAAGTTTGTCCTGTTATTTTGAACTTGTATTTCAATGAATGGCTAAATATAAATATCATCAAATTTTCAAAAAGGTAACAATCTAAAAGATTACATACTTAGGTGGTACTACGAATGAATGACATGAAAAATTATTGACAAAATTGACAAAAGAAGACCTTCGATTCCAAATTCAGTAGCAGTACCATTTTTCTAATCTATTTGAAAATTAATGAAGACTTGACTTGAATTCACCTTACAGCTTTAATTGAACTCTAGGTGAACTGCAAATCATTGTAAATTTCACATTCCTCTTTGTTTACAAATTTCTGACCAAGAAATTTCTTCCTTGTTGATTTCTTGTAGATTTCTGACCAAGAAATTTCTTCCTTGTTGATTTCTTGTAGATTTCTGACCAAGAAATTTCTTCCTTGTCGATTTCTTGTAGATTTCTTCTATCCTGCAATTTACAGGTTCTCTTGCTTGTTAGTAACACACTTGCTAGAGTAAATTGTATGGTGCACATGACTTCCAAAAACATAATCCAAATAACAAATTTATAATGAATGAGATGGAGAAGAAAAAAGGTGTAGAAAATGCCCTTCATAATGATACAATGAAGAAAAAAAAACATTTCAGGAGCTTAACAAGATGAGTTGAACAGCTGTTGGGGAAATAATAAATCTTGGGAAAGAAATAGGATTGGAATAGAGCAGAGACATTACCAAGGTAAATTTAAACAAGAAGGAGTAACAGAATAATGAGAAATCAAATTTATAAGGCTCTTATGACTGAAGAGGAATAGTCAATATATGCAGTAAAAGTGGTAGCTTACATTTGATTGTGGTAGCCTTGATTTGATTAACTCTTACACTACCACCATTGCAGCATTAACATCTAAAGCACTCTTAACCACACAATCAATGCCCTTTTTTGTCCTGACAAACATGTGTAATTTAAAAAGCTAGACACAGTAACTACAGAAGAGAAAAAGATTCTAATGGTTTTAGCTCGAGTACCGTTATGAGTAAATTTACAGCATGACAGAATTCATTGATCGAAAAACAAATTTCAATAGCATGCAATTTTATCAGTTCACAAAAACGTAAATAATCCAGCCGCAATGTTTAAATTGAAAATAAAACATCAAGCTCTCAATCTGTGGATATTATTGGATTTTTCTTATTTACCTTGGTAAGTTTTGACTTTTCTTCTCTTTCCTCCTCCAGCTTGGACTTGATATCCTCTTTCTCCTTGAAGTGTGTGCTCTCAAGGGCAGATGTCCTGTGACATGAAACAAAGGATCATTGAACATTCTGTAAAGATATCTAGCATTGCAGAGCTGCCGACCTTGTGCAACCAAAAAAAGGAACCATGATGCCAAAGAAAGGAATTTCAAGCAAAAAAAAGGAATTCATTAAAACAAAATTTACAACCATGCGTACACACTTCCAATGCAGAAATGTCCATTCCTCATGCTGTTTTTTCCATATTAGGACCTATAGTTTATTTACAAGTAGGTATTTTTTCGGGTTATTTTAGTATTATCAGCGTTTCATTCTTCTTGAGAATATTTTTCTCTTCAAGTATGTTTTAACCTTAGTTTTCTATTGAATTTGTGATCAAATCGACATTTTAAGGCAGTTGTTTGACGTGCAGTATGTAAAAAAAAAATTTAAAAGAAGATTAAAACAAATTATTTAAAAATACGTATTTTATGAAGAAAAAATGTACAATCGTAATCTGGAGGAAAAAACAGAATAATTCCGCAGCTCTGGCATTGCAATGGATGAAACTCTTCTAAATACCTACTCAGTCATTGATTAAGATTTGCTTTCAGTTTCAGATTATTTAGCAGATACTGAGCTATGATGGCATTAAATCAATCCAAAGTACCATACACAAGAATACTGAAAAATAGAAGCTTGAAATTATACATTCTATTCCAAAAATCTAAATTTCTAAATCTTTACAGCCATTATTAATAAAAATGCATAGTTCGCCAAACAAAATGTGCAGTAACATAAGGAGAAAAAGACCCTCCTGAGTTGTACAAAAAAACTGATATTTTAGTCAGATAGAAAAGTAGTTAGGTACTACATCACAGTGAAACAACAGATTAAGCCAATATGAAGTGCCCATACATATAGTGATCACAACTTTCAAAATTACACAACTTTTTTGTTGTTGTCTAACTTGGTTTAATTTGTCACCATTCTACTTCTCCGATTGTTGCTTTCTTTTACAGTAACTGTCTATTAAAGTTCAATTTTCCTTAAATGCACTGCTAAAAAGAGTCCCACATTTCATACTGCAATACCTGCACAGTTCATTCTTATTATACACTACATGGAAATGTGGTCAGCTCCATGTTTCTCAACACAAACCACAATCCTGACTAATGACTATGGATCAATACGTGGTTACAAATGTGTGAAAGTTAAATGCTGAAAGGCATATACCACATACATTGACAGATCTGGAAAGTAGAAAATACATTCCAGCATCGAGTTGGCTTAAATTAAAAGTATTTTTTTTTAAATGAAAGGAAAACATCAGTGAAAGTTTGAGGGAACTCCAATAGAGGATAAGAAAGTAATTATTATGAGTCAATACCCCCTTTTACTAACTGATAGGTTGACATTTCATCTGAAAACAAGACTTAAACGACAGAGAGATGTATATCTCTCTCTCTGCTTTCTTGAAGTCACAAGCATTCCAGACAGACTGGGGAAGAAAAAACACTTGGGTTTTTAGTATCAAGTACATATCGAGGGTTCAGTGACACAAAGACATAATTCTGTATTTTCCAAAATGAGTATTTGATATCAAAATGTGAGCTTTCCAAGAGACACAAAGACTTAACTCCACCCAACACCACATTGAAGTCAATGGCTAGTGAAACATAGACTTAACTCCTTGAGGCCCAAGTGCTCAGTGACACATAAACCACTTTTTTCTCAAAATGGCCTAAATTGAGTTACGTCTTTGTGTCACTGACCCGTCGATATATGTATCTAAACCTACCTATCTAATTCTTCCATCACTTGGTCCATGTTCTCCTGTAATATTTCTTCATTAGCCTTGACTTGGTCCAATCTGAAATATATCAATCAAATTCTATTGTAAAATAAATCTATCTTGAAACACTTGATTGTTACATATCTGTGAAGCAGAGTTTGTTTCTTTTCTCATTATTTCTACACTTTCTAGGGGTCATTTCATTGAAATGGTCAAAACAAGCAGTAGTCTGTCACAGATCTATGACAAATCTACTCACAGTCTCAGTATGAGACCATGTTATGATTTCAATTCAATGTCTTCTAATGTAATGTGAGTACCGATTCCTAACGAACCCATCAATTTGAGACCCAATGTATAATTGCATTCATATCCATAGAAAATACACTGGGAAATTAATATTTAAATACTGGCATTTTAACAGCTGCATGCTAAGCCTCAGATAACTTGGAAATTATATAAGTGTGAAAAGCACATTTTAAGGATCATCTCTAACAGATTGATAAAGTAATAAAAGATATTTGCAGCATGCTTTAGGGGTAGATGAAACATGGAAAATCACTTACGTTGTTTGGACAGTGTAGAGCTTCTCTACGGCTTCATCTTTGTCTCGGAGCATGCTAGCCAGCACTGTCTTCTGACGTTCCATGTCTCTTTTGAGGTGATTCACCTCATCTTTTAATGATGATTCCCTGTGCAGCAGAGGCAAAGCAGAATTAGAGTACAGGGTGCATAAAAATTATCTGAATACATTGACTATTGGATTATCTTATCTCAATTGCTTTAAACCAGGAACCATCCAGTTCCCGTTGGCAGAGGATCAACAGATTCGTCCAAATAGAGTACAGGGTGCATCAAAATGATCTTATTACATTGACTATTGGATTATCTAATCCCATAAACTTTAATCCAGGGACCATCCGGTTCCCATTGGCAGAGGATCAACAGGTTCATCCAAAGAGAGTACAGGGTGCATCAAAATGATCTTATTACATTGACTATTGGATTATCTAATCCCCATAGGCTTTAATCCTGGAGCCATCTGGTTCCCATTGGCAGAGGATCATCAGATTCATCAAAATAAAGTACATGGTGCATCAAAATTATCTTAATACTTTGACTATTGGATTATCTTATCTCCATGGCTTTAATCCAGGGGCCATCCGGTTCCCATTGGCAGAGGATCAACAGGTTCATCCAAAGAGAGTACAGGGTGCATCAAAATTATCTTATTACATTGACTATTGGATTATCTTATCCCCATAGGCTTTAATCCTGGAGCCATCTGGTTCCCATTGGCAGAGGATCATCAGATTCATCAAAATAAAGTACATGGTGCATCAAAATTCTCTTAATACATCGACTATTGGATTATCTTATCTCCATGGCTTTAATCCAAGAGCCATCCATTTCCCATTGGCGAAATCAATAGGTTCATCCAAATAGAGAACAGGGGGCATCAAAATTATCTTAATACATTGACTATTGGATTATCTTATCTCCATGGCGTTAATCCAGGAGCCATTCGTTTCCCATAAGCAAAGGATTAACAGGTTCATCCATAGACCCGTCATATACGATTAACAATTCAATTATTCATACCACTTGTAAATTTGATGCTTTGTTTTGTTTGTCATAACTCTAGAATGAAATGTGGACTGATTGAATTAGGCATAAATGTATGTCATTCTTACTTTTCTGCCATCTCGTTTCGAACTTGCTCTATCTCGTACGTCAGGGCTGTGTGCTGGGCTTGAAGGATCTCCTTGGATATGCGCACATCTTCCAGTTCATCGGCTTTCATCTGAGTGTTGGTCAATTTCAAAAATAATTTTCAGAGATTATATATCTATTATATATATACATAATTGACTGTAAATTAACAAGTGCTTTGTCCACACACCATTCCAGCAATTCATGACACTCCTTGTAGTTACTCGCCTCACCTACCATCCCAGTATAGCTTCCTGAGCGAGCGGCCAAAGGGATTGCCCAACCAAAAAAAAATTCTTATCTTAGTACAAAAAGTAATATTTTGTGGTGGAGAAAAATCTACCATATGCATTCTTTTCCCATTCATTAGAATTTGGTTACTTTTATTAATACTTCAGCTATTTTAAGTGATCTGATTTCTTCATTAATATGATCCCTCATATAACGCTCTTTAAACCTCTTCTCAGATTCCTTTAATGCGTTGTGATTCAAATTATTTATGCAACAAGGAATCTGGAGATTCTGGACCCCTTGCCAAAGTCCGGAAAGGCATGCAGGAAAAAAATTCTGGTCCACTTACCTTGAGTGATCTGATCTCTTCATTCATCTGATCCCTCATGTTGTCATACACACTGGAGAGCTCTTTGAACCGCTTCTCTGAATCCCGCAACGTAGAAAGCATGGCTAGTCAAGGAATTTACCAATTCAAATGGCATAATTTGAAATAATGCAATTGTTGACTATGGTACAACGTTACTAAGGGTGAAAGACACACAATTCAGTGAACCATGTAAATGTTGTTTCAGCATTATGCTTGTACTTTTCACAAGCAAATACAATTTTCAAAATTCTCCTACTGCAAAACTTCCTCCAATTTCTCTTCCTACTCTCTAGGCTTGTCCTAAATGACCTTGTCCTAAATGACCTTGTTGGGACAAGTAACTGATCATACAGGCTCAGCTCCTATTGTGAAGAGCTTTCCTGACCTGATGGCTTTTGTCATTCTGTTAATCAGGCAGTGAGTACAGAGCAACATAATTTTTTATTTTTTTCTCAACCACGCCCCCCCCCCCCCCCCCCCATGAGTATAAAAAAAAAACATTCGGGGGGGGAATGGCATCTAACAACATTCCCCCTCTTTTGAGTTAGAAAAAAAAATCAGGAAAAAACAAAAACAGGAAAACTATTTAAATCTGGTAATTATCAGGCCTGTTAATCTCAGTTTCCACCTGCTCATTCCTAACCAGGGGCGGATCTAGCTTTTTGCTAAGGGGGGGGTTGACCAAAATAATGACGATGCGGAGCATCGTCCACGAGCCGCAAAGCGGCGAGCCGATTTTTTTTGGGGTGTTTATTTGAACCCCGTAAGTGATGTTTTCCTGGCATCTATTAACACAATGGAGACCATAAAAAGCAGTGCATGATAACGTCTTTTTAAATCAAGTAACAGTTTAATACATAGTTATATCCAGAGTTATCATGTGTTTGGTTAAGTTACCAGATGAGTTGAATATCTTCTCACAATATTTGCACTTGAAAGGGTTTCTCTCCAGCGTGCGTTCTTTTTTCTTTCTTTTTTTCTTTCTTTTTTTCTTTTTTTTTTTTTTTTTTTTTTTTTTTTTTTTTTGGGCCGCCCAAGGGGGGGGTTGCAACCCCCCCAACCCCCCCCCCCTGGATCCGCCACTGCTAACATAGTTTGGGAAGTCCAAAAAAAGAAAAAAGATAAATAAAAAGAAAAGAGGATTAAAAGGTTGCTTTTACATACAAAAACAGCAGCTGGGAAATTTATTTGAATGTGAGGAATCCTCCTCATTCACAGAGGTCACTCTAGACAAAAGGCAGCTTACCAAAGATTGCTACACATTTACTTTTAACAAAATAGACCTATACACCTGTTTACTACTGTCTTCTAATTTATGCATGTCTCTTCCAAGATTCCTTGGTGATGAGCTTTTCAATTCACACGTTAGGTATGACAGCATTTGCATGGAATAGAAGGAATACACCTTGCATACATTGTTTGCTGCTATGTCGGACAAGATTCAGGCAAGCATTTTGATCATCAAGAGCAACTTTTGTTCAAGAAGTATGCATAGAATTTGAATACATTAGTCAACTGGCCTATTCACATGCTATGGATTACTGTATTTGACAGGTGGAAAAGTAGATTACAGTATCAGTATTGTTCCTCTGCATTTTTGACTCAACCAAAAGAACAGCATTACATGTATCATCTCTACCCCCCCCCCCCAACTTCCCCTCACTGTCTTCAAGAAAATGTACCCCCACCCCCACTCTGTGTTATTTAGGGTACGCATATATGCATGTTCCCAGCGCCCCCCCCCCCACCCCTTTTCAGCATAAGTCTGGTGTATAAAGTCAATACGGGCAGATCTTTTTCTTTGTTACGAGCCAGATATTTGGGAACATGAATGCGGTCCCTCTGTTCCCGGAGTGGGGGGGGGGCCGGGATGTACCCAGATATCTATGGATGGATAATGATCTATGAATTAAGGCATCGTGCACTTCCATCCCTCTCCCCAAGTCTTTTTAGCTCCTAAATAATCCCACTCCTGAGGGTTCAAGAGAACACTGCTTATTACAGAATACAGAATATATGATTCTATTTAATGCTATTGTTGTAATTTATAAGCTACCAAACTGCTATAAAAACTGATCAAATTGATTGGATAATATTCAAAAATATATATTTTTTACTTCTTCTTCAGTGAGAAAAAAAAAGAAAGAAGATTTATATATGTCCCATACAATATCATATCCATGAATCCATTTTATTTTATTGTTTCAATTTTAATTTGACTTACATTTTTAAGCTATGAAAAGTTACAACACAAAATCAATTTGTCTTCAGTAATATTCCATGATTACATCTGTAACAGCAAATGTAATACGAGATAACCTACATAAATATATCACTTCAATATACAAATAGTTCGTTTTCTGTTATCCAAAAGATGACACTACTTCAAGTTTTCCATGAGCTGCTGTAGCGTGGCTCTGCAAACTTGAACCTAACAGATGGAGCACAAGGGATCCCCATTGCACCAGTACTAAATATCCTTACACTAGGAGAATGGGATGGGATCCTCATGGAATCACTACTGAATGTCCTAATACTAGAAGGATATGATTCAATTTCCATAGCCTGGGCGTCGGCCATCTTCCTCTTCTTGGATTCAGGTTCATCGAGCTCGACGACCACGGTGGAGAGGTTGGTCTTGACTTCCTCGAGCTGCTCCTCCAGGGATTCGATGGTGTCCTTGTGTTCCGATTCCTTTGTTTCGTATTCTTCTTCCTTCTCCTTCATCTGTAGAGATGATGCAAAGCACATGAAGATGGATGTTACTAGATTGTTTGTAAATAATAATAAGAATGATAATAATACTCCAATTTGATATAGCACTTAATAAATCGACATGTCTCTCTCTAAGCGCTTTACAGATATATTACCCTGGTCACCGGATTCAGGCTTGCCTGCACACAATTTATGCACATTCTCTACTCCCTGGGGAGCATTCCAGGCAGGTGCCATTTGTACAGATGCTCACCATGCTGAGCATACTACATTAACGTTCGCAGCATACTGGTTACCAATTTAACACCAGGGTGGAGAGTGGCAACATAGATAAGCGTATTGCCAAAGAACGTTGGTGCAGAGCTGGGATTTGAACCCCATACTTTGTAATCTACAGTCCAGCGACTGTTACAAATTTCAAACTCAGCTTGCTTGATGCCTAACTCAGATATGAAATGGCATTGTTTCTTTATTTTTATAATGACATAAAAGTAATACACTTTGCATTTCTGTATCTAATAACTCAGAGCTTAGTGACTACGTGTAGTCCTTTGTTGAGCGCAGTTGCCATTTATTTACATGTTAATAAAGAAGCACCACTTCATAATCTGGACAAGCCTTAAAATCATACCTATTCCACATTGTGTACAAATAGCTTCTTCTCCAGTCTTTCTCAATGAATCAAGGATGGCATAATTATACAGTTGTTGGTTTTTTCAGTCTCAACAGTGCCTTTGATGAGGCACCTGGATACTGGCATGTACAAAGTCGTGGAGTCTTTTTTTGCACTCACCCATTTTTCTTGTATAAATAATTTTACAAGTGATATTTCTAAAAACAAAAACAAAACAAAAATGAACCAAATGAGATGTGTCAACATTAAATGCTTGCTGGTCTATATCACATCTTGTGCATTTCATCTCACCTGTTTATGAAGTTGAGTAAGCTCCTCGGACTGTTTCTCAAGTTCTTTGAGTAACTCCTTCTGGTGTTGATTAGCGTCCATAGCATCAGCCCTCATCTGTTCAATCTATCAAGAAATCAGAATGCAACAGAAATGTCAATAATGACTATAGTACCTTTCAGAAGAATACTTACATGAGATTTGATGTATGCATGTACTTTTTATTATAATTATAGAGAAAGAGATAAGCTTGAATACAGTCAGTCAGTACACTATTTCATTCAGTTTTGAGGCCATTTAAGGACATACACCGAACCACTGAGAATGACATGTATACAACTGTTTGGAATAATGAAAGGCACCTTCTGACAGAACTCAATTTGATCATCTCAGCTGTATCTGAGCTCTCCTGGTATGATAAGGCACTTGGGCATCCACAGACATTCTTCCCAACCCAGTACCCATTGACTGGGAAAGGGGTAGCAACTACTATTAGACATGACCACCAACCTGTTCTTAGTAATATCCAGCCTGTGCATGCATCCTGTCCTGCAATGCTGGCATCTGACTATGCAACACCTCCACATTAATCTTCCTTTCCTCCAAGGCACCCTAAAGCATTCAAGGATTTTCTTTCCCAACAACAGAACCCATTTCTAAACCTGGGTAAAAAGGGTGGCAATGGCCACAAACCTGTTCTTGGTAATCTCCAGCCTGCGCGTGCATCCTGTCCTCCAGTGCTGCAATCTGGCTTTGAAGCCCCGCCCCGCTGGCCTTTCCTTCTTCCAGTGCAGCTTCCAGGAGGGACACCTGCCCCCTGGTGTCTTCCAATTGCATCTGCATGCTGGCTAGTTGCTCTTCTTTATCCTTGACCATTCCCTTCTGACCCTGCAGGGCTGTCATGAGGCTGGACAAGGCTTCCTGGGATGTTCAAAGATCAGGATTGTAACAAAGAAAGTGAATGTTTAAGCCCCACTGTACTACTTGTAGCTACTTGCTCCCTCTATATAAAAAACAATGCCTATGCGGTGACCATTGGTCCACCATGATCCTCTTTTTCTTATGTTAATTGAGAGCTTAGTTGATGAGATAGCCACCTGTCAGTGACCTTGCAGGGTGATCTATTTCCCTCCTGGCTTAACTAGTACAGACGGGCTTTAATATATGTACCCTAAAATACTTTATTCATTGGAGATTATCTTGAGCACCAGCATTTGATTAGGATTTTGAAATGAACTACCTGGTTGCTATCTTCAAGGCTAATCATATATAATGATTGTGAATGGGGTTTCAGAACTATTAGGTTGTGAATGAATATGACAACCAGTGAAGAGCATTGCTAAATACACAAGGCCAAATGTTGTTGGTCAAAGAAATAAACTAATTTTTGGTATAACTGAACCATATTAGGAACATTTTTTCCCATTTTTTTTTTTAAATAGCTCTACTTAAAAAAAACTGCACAATGAGAAGGGAAAATTGATGCTGTCAGAAAATATGATATACTTGTACTAAACTACTATCCACCTACCTTCTGTTCAACATCAGTTTTCTTAATTGCTGTCAGGGCAGAGTTGACCGTCTCCAAATCATCCTTTGAAGAAGATAGCTTCAGCGCCTACATATTTACAAAGAAGATATAGAACAAGTCTTGAATGGCACAGCCCACAGCACAGAAACAAAATCAGTGAATGAACTATGAGTGAACTGTTTATCCATCAAGCCCTCCCCCCCCCCCCCCATATTGATGAAATGATGCATGCTGTGTATACACATGCCGCAATAAAATAAGAGGGAGGACTTTAGATGACATATGATCATTAAAGGCATCGTTTGACAATGTTAAATCTGAGATGCACAGCCATACATGTTATCAGTGTCTGTGATATTTGATTTGATTTTGATTTATTTACCAACAGCAATACATTCCATACATTTTATACAATAATTACATATACAGAAAGAGAAACTATTGGTTGGTAAAAGGGGCCAGATAATAGCACATGTGCTAGTCAAGCCTAACCCCTTAAACAGCTAAACAAAGTATTTTGGTACAAATCAGTTTAGAGAACGTAACAAAACAAAAAATAATGAATTTACTTTTAGAATCGATACTTAGACAAAACAAGAATCAGAATATGGTGTAATATTGAAGCCCTAAAAAACTGCACTTCAAAATGATCAAGAAGTGCCTCAAAAAAGTAAAAATCTTTGAGTGACCGGGTTTACCATACTCGTTTTCCCCAATAGACTGTAGTGTTTTGAAAACCGTTAGGAAAATGCAAAATTTTGTTTCAATTTCCAATGATAAGTATCTTGATAATCAGAAAAGCGATCAGCTTTTAAAAGTCATGGGGTTCCTGACTGACCTAAAAGTTTATAATTATCATTGCATCATGAGCTAAATCCAGGATTTTGATTCATAATCTGAGACAAAATTACCGGATCTCTTTAACATTATAATGGTCTTGTCTTCTAAAAATAGATCCAATGTTAGAGAAACAATATTTACCTCTGTATCAAGTCTGTGAAGGAGATCATCCCGTTCCTCTCTGAACTGATCGATGAGTTCCTGGGCATCTAGGAGATCCTTCTTGGTGTTGTCGCCCTGCCGCAGCTCCGCAGTCAACCGCATGCTCTTATCACGCTCACTGTCAAGCTTCTCCAGGTGTTTCTGTAATATTTATTTATTTATTTATTTATTTATTTATTTATTTATTTATTTATTTCGGTTTAAAAAGACATATAAATATACATGATTCAAAGGTCCAAGGACCAAGACTGATCATGTTTACAAGTAATACAATAAAGTTATAGATACAGTAAATATACAATAGTGAGCCAAACAGACAGGTATAAAAAGTACAAGATGGCAATAAAGATGAAAAAATAATACATTTCAATCAATACAATACCAAACGAGAAAGGAGTGGTCAAGATCGTCAAATTACTAAACTGCTATAGGGTCATACATAGAAAGAAGGAGAGAAGGATAAACAGAGGGATAGAGAGGTGAGGAGGGAGAGAGAGAGAGAGAGGAAGATAGTTAGAGAATGGGAAAGAGAAATAAAAGTTAAGAAGTAAAAGAGAGAGGAATACAGGGACAATGAGAGAAAAAAATTGACAAGAAAAGGACAAGACATTAAAGACAACAAAAACAAATACAGAAATGTAACACAAGTAAATGGAGAGATTGAAGGGAGAAAGGACAAGAAAAAAAGATAAAGGGGAAGAACATTTTCTTATTGATGTTATTCTCCTGCTCTGACTTCCTACGCTGTTGAAATCCTCAGTTTTTGCAAAGTGCTCTACATGTAAGTATTGCCATATTCAACATTCAGCTTTCAAAGACATTACCATTAATACACATGCAATGTCCCATGTCCCTTTGCCTGTTATTCAAATACAAACGTGAGTTTGGTAAGTACCTGTATCTCTTCTTGGAGCTGCGTGATCTCGGCTTTCTTTCCTTTCAGTCTGTTTTCCAAGTCTGCCTCCCTCTGCTGCTGGAACTCGTGCTCCGCTTGCAAGGTGTTGTATGCATCCTACAAGATCGAGACAAATACGATGAGAAGTGGAATTTAACCAAGTGCAACTGAATACTACATGTATACCCAAAATAACTTGAAATAGTACTCATTAAAGAGAAGGTTGAGTTCTGGGAACAGGTGAAAATTACTTTATGAGCATTATCATTGTTATTATGCAAGTGTGGAAGAACATCAGATAAAAAATGATCCCTGAAAGGCATGGCTCTTCAAATGCTGTAATATTCTGAATATAGCATGTAACAGCACAAAAATTAGGACAGATTTTTATGCCACATGTTTGTGTAGTCCCATATACATATTTTTGTGTACAGTGCTTGTAACTATACCAAGACTGGGCCACATTTCTTATCATTTTGATGATTCCAGAACCTTGCAGTACAAACCAATACCTATATGCTAGATGATCAACCTTTTCTAATCGATTCCACACCGTTTCTTTCACAATGCAATCGCATGACAAGAACTCAACTTTATCTTTAAAAATACAACTGTGTTATGAAAATGAAACAGGTGTAAGAGAGAGAGAGATAAGTACTGTTACAAATTCAGAACTAGACACATTCAGCGAGAAACGGTCTTTCAAATTGTGATTTCATATGAATGAACTATGTACTTTATACATGTACATGCTTGGTGGGCCTCAAGAGTCCAAAACAGAGAAACAAACAAGAACAAAAAAGGTACTGCACACAAATATAGGTATATGGGAAATATTGCAGCGTTAAACAAAAATTTGGTCAAAGTTACAGATTATTTTTCGCCATGAGTGAAAGCCATTCAGGCCTAATGCATTTAATGTATCAATGCTACTATGACGTTCTTCCACATGAGAATAGCAATAAGAAAGCTAACATATTTTATTCACTTGACCTCTGTTAGCATCTGAAAATAATCCTCATTTATAATTTTGAGCATACTGAATGACTGACCTGGAGCTGTTCTCTGTCTTCCGTTAGGTTCTCCAACTCTCTGGATTGGCCGCACATTTCATTCTCTAGCCGTACCACCTGCACAAAAATACAAACAGAAAAAACAATAAGCAATCATTTTTCATTGTTCATCCTCTTATAGTCTATGCTATAAAAACACCTTAAAGGCCATCTGTACTAGTGTAAAGGAGGGATTAGACCACCCTGCAAGTTCACTGAAAAGGTGGTTATCTCATCAACTCAGCTCTCAAATCACATAAGAAAAAGAGGATCTTGGGGGACTAATGGTCACCAATTAGGCATTGTTTGTTATATAGAGGGCACAAGAAGCTACAGGCAGTGCAGTGTGGCTTTAAGGCTTATGAAAACACTTGACTGCAAATTTTTAAGAAGTATTTCTTCAGTTTTTCTTTTTCTGTTGATTGATGTATAAACCGATTTACAATCCCATAAGTTGGTGCACCTCTAAGAATAAGGAAAATGGTACAAGATCATGATGTGTGCTCCAATACTGCATGGGCCAATTAAGTTGCACAACTCTTTGCCTAAACCTCATCTACCTAACCCTATATCTTTTTTTTTTTGTGAAATAATTATTGCCTGGGGCAGGGGGATTGTAAAAACTATTTAATCTTTTATGTGAGGGGGAAAAGATGTTAATTGTCATAATAGACTAAATGCACAGACTTAACACCGCCATTGGTGCTTGCATACTAGATGTCTGCTTCAACCATAGACATTAGGCAGCCTATTTAAGTTGATGCTCTTAAGTTGATGAAAGTAAACATATTTTTCCTAACAGAGAAGATTACTACCCCTGAGCAAGTATCGCCAGAGCAAATATCACCAGAGCCAGTGTTACCAGAAAAGGTGTCACCTGAGGAGTGTTTCACAAAGATCCTAAGTTGGACTTACTATTATGGAAAGCTGTTAGCATCCTTGAAAATATATTGTAAAAGTTATTTAAAAGGCATAAGATGTTGATTCAAATCCTTCATATTTTCTATTATCATGGGAGATTTCATATTCTTGATGTAGAATTTATGAAAATCCTAAATTACTTCAATTTTTGCTTTTGGAAATATTTAATATTAAGGCTACAAATGGCTCTTCATAATTTCTTAGTCCAACTTAGACTTAAGTTCAACTTAAAGGAAAAATCACCAGAACAAGTGTTACCAGAAAAAGTGTCACCAGAACAAATGGCAGATAAGTTCTTACCTGAGCATCAAGGGCTGCCCTAACCCTGTCCCAGTCCTGGGTGACCTTGCTCTTCTGTTTCTTCTCCTGTCCGATCTCCTTGTCTGCGGCTTGAAGCATCACCTTGAAGTCTTCCGCCTCCCCTCTGGTCATCTCATAGTCTCTCTGCAGGGTGCTGATTTGGATGGTTGCTTCGGCTAGCCTGGTGGTCAGGTCTTTCTCATGCTCCTGCCACGCCTGGGACTCGGTCGAATAGAGCTGGTCAAGCGAATGATACATTGAAATATACATTGAAATATACATTGAAAAATACATGTGTACATTGGAATATATATTGAAATCACTGTGAATGACAGGAACTGAAAAACCAATTGTGTGGGAACATAGTGCTTTCAAATACCACTTAAAATCTGGGCATGGATGAAATTTTCATGAATTTTTCATGAATGTTCCAGATTTGTAAAAGTTCCACGTTCTGAAATTGGATTACAAACAATGAATTTTTAAATTTGCAAAATGTTCATATCAAGAAGATTTCTGGTTTAATAGTGTTAGACTTTGAAATATTTCAACAAAGTATAGAAGCAAATTATGCACTCATTTTCATTTTGTTTCTCCACCTCAGTACCATGTAATACATTGCTGCCATATGCTATTGGGTTTGAAAAGATCATACCTCTGTAATCTGCTGTAGCTGATGATCCAATTTACTGCTATTCTGCAACATCTTGTGTTTCTGTGACTCATGCTCCTCCAACTGCTGTTGAAGATTGGCATTCTTGTCCTGCAATCAAGGAGATTCAGACATCAGTTTATATATTGTTTCATTAAAGGGATAGTTGAGTTCTTATTTCAGACTGCAAATGCCTTCAAAGTGCATGGTTATTGCTCTTATTCTTATTCATGACATTTATAGTGCCCTTTTAGGATCTAAAATTGCTATAAAGATAATTTTAGACCCATACCAATTCAGGTCTCATTGGGCTGATATTTTTCAGTTTTGAATGCTTTAATACATTTTTTTCTCTAAAGAAACGGTTTTAAAAAAAAACTTGTTAAAAAGTTGACTATAGATTTCAAAATTTTTGGGTCAGTCGCAAAGGGCAATACAACATTTTTTTTTTAGGCCTAATGACAATTTCTCTGGACTTGGGTTATAAAACCAACCTGCAGCTTCTGAAGCTCAATGGTAAGAGCCTCGTTGCACTGTTCAATCACATGCTCCGGCATCTCCTCATCAATGATCCCTTCCTCCGACATGGCAGGCGAAGAGTTAGTCACCAACACATCCCCACTGGGGGCAAGACTGTTTGCGCTGTGGCTCCTCAAGGGACTGCCGTTATCAGACAAGCCAGCGAAACCAGGCCCGCCCGGTGTCTCTCCCGCTGTTCGGAGCACCGTACGCGAACGCAGCTGGTAGGTTACTTTCTTGGGTGTGGTGATTGACTGAGAATGGGTGCAATGTATGAGCATGAATTAATATACAAATGTGATACTGTGTAAAAATGCCTAATTTGATAATTGCAAAAATGTAGTTGGCTATATAATGTTGAAGGTGGTGAAAGGTTAAAGGGATCTGGTATTTTGTCTCAGATTCTGAGGAAAAAAAATCCTGGATTTAGCTCATGCTGCAATGATAATTATAAACCTTTAGGTCAGTCAGGAACCCCATGACTTTTACAAGCCGATCGCCTGTCTGATTATCAAGCTATTTATGATTGGAAATCTAAACCAAATTTTGCATTTGCCTAACGGTTTTCATAACACTACAGTCTATTGGGGAAAACGAGTATGGTAAAACTGGTCACTCAAAAGATTTTTACTTCAAACAGCGGACCATTTCATCGATTAGAGCAAAGATACAGCCAGACTTGTTGTACATGTTCCTAGAGACTCTTCAGAACATATCTTTGGTGGGAGAGGGTAGACTTGTAGACTTGTGACTTACTTTGATGGTCTGCATATGGATGTCATTCATTGCGTCCCGGTCCATCCTGTTCTTGATTTTCATTCCTTGCAGCGTCTTCTCCATGTCAAGGTTGGCTTTTTTGTACGCTGCCAGCTCTGACTCCAGGTCAAGACGGGTCGTCCTTGTCATCTCCTCTTGCTCGGCGTGCTCCTGCTTGGCCTGATTATGATAATGGGGGCAAAGGTCAAAGGTTACTTTCTTGGTGCTGCAACATTTGCTCCAGTGATTGGTATTTCCAAAGGGTTACAATGTTCAGGAAAGGACTTATTTCTCAAATGAGAGTTGGACCATCTCTCCTTTTGCATTACATCATTGAGAAGAAAAAGAAATTACACCACTCTACATTACATCTAGCAAAGGCCACTTGGTAAGAGTCTAACCTGTCCATAAAGATCATACAAGAGAAAGTGCATGCAAAGTGACCGATGTGGATAGGTGTCCTAGTTTCAGGGAATGATCTACTAAATATTTTCTTTCAAAAAGTAGCAGGTGAGGTGACCTTCCATGACATGTTCACAACACAAACACGTATTTTGTCTTATTACATGGAAGCAGTTAAGTAGACTACTCTATAGACAGGTGACCTTTTCAAGACAGGTTCTTCAAAACACATGTTCTCTAACAGATGTAAGCAGTGACGGTGACCACAACAAACAGGTGACCATTTAAAAATAAGAATTAGGAATTTTTAGCACGATATGCCTTCAAAAATAAGTTATCACACTTTCAGCGGCAGTGTAACTGGCAATACGCGGTAAATCTGTACCAAAAAGCGAATATAATTCGCTGCTTGATCATGCAGCCATTCAATGACACAATATGTGAACTCTCAAATCGCAGCACATGACAAAACAAGCTTAATTGTGGCTTTAGCACCAAAATAAAATTGAAATAATTTTTTTTTTTTTTTAATTGGATTATTCGGAAGGGTTGGCAGGTATAGAGGGGCCTGCTAAGACAGAGTTTTAAAATAAGTGTGCTTGATGAGATGAAGAAGCAAACTTACATTTTCCAGCTCATCTTGCAGCTTCTTGATCTGTGATTTAAGGATGACCAAAGTTGACGTTGGAACTTTCTCCCCGTCTACAGGAGTGCTACTGTACCGACGATTCTTGGACAATCCTGAGTCACAAAAGAAACACTACAATGTTGAACCCCTTCTGTGTAACCAAGTTCTTTTAAACGATTCAATTAATTGTCATAAATGAATTTTCAAGTGTGAAAACTGGTAACTCAATTGCATATGTCATTATCAAATCGGGCTTAAGAAAGATATTCATTAGGAATAAACTTAAATATTAGGCAACATTCTTCTGCTTCAGAAAAAGATCTTGAAGGTAAAGACCAGTTCTGGTCATGCGAATGCATTGTGAAAGAAACGTTGTGGAATCTATCAGAAAAGGTTGATCACCTAGCATATAAGTATTGGTGTGTACTGCAAGGTTCTGGAATCATCAAAATGATAAGAAATTTGGCCCAGTCTTGGTTAAGTTACAAGCACTGTACACAGAAAGATGTATATGAGACTTCGCGACACATGCGCGATATCTATCCGGTCCGGATAGATATAATTATTTACCAAATATATCAATTAGTAGGCGGTTTCCCGGCAAAATTTGTATCATCACGTATTAGTCAAAACATATTCTTTCACATGATTGGTATTAAGAGCTTCCATTTCATTTTTTGAGAGGGGGGCATTTCAAAAACTGGTCTATACCTTTAACAATAATAACAAAACAAGTGTTCAATACTTGAGTTGTGGGGGCTAGATTTGCTGCTGATGGCATGGATGGGGTTAAGTTAACTTTAACACGGAGTACCAGTAGTATGGTGAGCCAGATATAAAATATAATAGAATAAGATAGAAAATACAATAGGAGGACCTCAGTTTTATTGACAGCTAATTGTTTATGACAAGGCAAAGTCTCAAGATGCATATAGTACAACTATATCTACTTGATAATGCAAAATCAAAATTAAATTATTGGGCTACATTGCTTTTCTTCTTGTTATATATACCCAATAGGATGTGAACATTATTACATTAGCATTATTAAACATGTGAAAGAATGCCAGAATGCTCCCCAAAACTGGAGAACATGCACCTAAAGATCAGAAAGTACAGAAAGCAGGAACAAATCTGACAACCAGTGTGGCAATCCATTGTGAATTGCCTTAAAGAGGAAAGCTGAAAGGAGCTTCGTAAAAGACATCAACTTGAAGTATACAGCAGAGTAATGCTAGAGGCAGATATGCCAACCTCTTGACACAAAAAAACAGACTGAGTATCCTTTAAAAAAAAACATCAGATTTTGGAGAGAAAAATCAGATTTTCACAAAAACTTGACACTACCACTGGCCCGTTGGCCCAAGGCCAGTGAAATTTGAGAAAAATGTTTTACGGGTAAGAACGGTCAAGTAAAATGTTTGCTCTATCATTAATATTCAATTGTAAAGCAAAGTTTTTTTGGGGTTGCGGGGGTTTACTTTTCTATGCAATTCAGCGGTTATTATGGGGTTTCTTATCTTTTCTTTTTTTTGAAGGATGAAAAAACGTATTCTAAGAGGTGATATCGTATTATCGTATTTCACTCTTATTATTGTACTAAATACGATTTAATCATACTGGTTGGCATCTCTGTAGAGGACATACCTTCTCTGAGTTCAAGGAAGAGTGTCTCCAGCTCCTCGGCCTTGGTTGCAGCCATGGCTTCCCCGCTACGTACGGCCTCCATCATCTTCAGCTTCTTGTTCTGTGCTCTCAGGGATTGGTTCTCCACAACGTAGCGCATGACAAAGGGGTTGTGCTCCAGCTGTTCCTGCAGCTGCTCAATCTCTTTCTTCAAGTTCTCCTGTGTAGCAGTATGAATGAACCAAGGCAGTGTGAACAAACCAAGGCAGTGTGAATGAACCAAGGCAGTGTGAACGAACCAAGGCAGTGTGAATGAACCAAGGCAGTGTGAACGAACCAAGGCAGTGTGAATAAACCCAGGCAGTGTGAACGAACCAAGGCAATCATACAATGTAATTCAATGTTACTCTGGAATTTCATGTCTAAGATAATACACCCCTTCATGTTTAAGGCCGCCATTTTAATTTGCAAGTAAACATTGCATCAAAAATTTTTAAAGGTGCATGTATTGTTGCATCACTGCCTGCGCTGCGCGCTCACATCACATTGACACATGCGCTTTGCATGCTTCATAAAATAAAAGTTACTCGCAATTTAAAATGGCGCCATGCAATGTTAGCGCATGCGCACTCTCGTAACCATGAAAGGGTGTATTACCCCGAAAAAGATTCAATAAAATTCACTCTAGAAATAAAAGACTGCAAATAAATGATGATCAACCAAAGAATATAAAAGGAAAGTGCGCAATTGATGAGATAAGTATAGATGAGTAAATAAAGTAGTCTATCATATCAATAGAAAAAGTAGTCCCATACCTGCGTTTCAGAGTAGGTAATTTTCTGAATCTTCTTGTATTCATCTCTACAGGTCATAAGGTCCAAATAACCCCATAACATATATACAAAAGTGTATACCAGTCACTGCATGAAAAAGAACTCAAAATGTTTTAGACAGTGTATTTTAGGCTGATATCACAGAACCCAAGCAGTACAGTGAAATTAACTATGCCCCTCTCCCCCCACCCCCAAAAGGACAAAATTATTAAAAAGAATCCTGCCCGATGACTTACATTTAGGAGGTCTCTGTCTTCTTTTAACAAAGCCTTATTCTTGGTCTTCTGAAGCATGTCGATGGTGCTGTTCCTGAATTTAATGATCATCTTGTTGGAGCTGATGACCTGATCACGTTTACTGCACAGCTCCTCTAGACTGCTGACCTTCTCTCGCATCTCCTTCAGAAAATAACAAGAGACGTGACGTTAAAGAGAAAGTTGAGTTCTGGTCATGCGATTTCATTGTGAAAGAAACGTTGTATCGATCAGAAAATGTTGATCATCTAGCATATCAGTATTGGTTTATAGTGCAAGTTTCTGGAATCATCAAAATGATTTTGGCCTAGTCTTAGTAAAGTTACAAGCGATGTACACAGAAAGATGTATATGGGACTACGCGATATCTATCCATTCCGGATAGATATAATAATTTACCAAATATATGGCGGTTTCCCCACAAAATTTGTATGATCACGTATTAGTCAAAACATATTTTTTCACATGATTGGTAATAAGAGCTTCCATTTCATTTTTTGAAAGGGGGACATTTCCAAAACTGGTCTATACCTTTAAATGTGACAACAATAACAGTTGGGGACAGACCAAGAAAAGGGTCAATTTTAAATTAAGCCGGTAAAAATGCAAGTGCCTTCTTATTTCAAACAGATGAACCATTTTGTTTTAATTATAATTTGTAATGTTACTTGATGAATAACAAAACTCCCATATTGACAAAGACTTTGAAAATATTATTGTCGTTTTGTTTTGTTTTTATTTTGCTGCTCTTCCTTTGATGTGATAAGTGAAATAGGTAGCTTTTCTTTTGCTCAATTCGTAAATCTTAGAAATCTTTACAGAGAGGTTTTTTGGTATATGTTGTCTTCAATCTGTGAAGAGGATCAGACTACAAGTATTGTTGTCATTCACTTGGTTTATCGCCATTTGCTCTTTATTAACGATTGAATTATTATAATAATAATAATATGGATAATCATACAGCACCGGTATCCGCCAGGTTCTGACATTCATGGTGCTTCAATTACACATTATTAGACAATATGGGTAGTAGCCAAAATGATCATTAGACAAACTGGCGATTAGACTGACTGGAAATTTGACTAAATGAGCAATATACCAAATGGGTAGTAGACTTATTGGAGATTAGACCATACAGAAATTAGACCAAACTACTATTAGCCTAAATGGCAGGTCATTAGACCAAATGATAAGTAGACAAATTGATTATTAGACCATGTGGATAGTAGACGGGCTGGGTGTAGACCAAACCGCAATTCACCCATTCCCTTGACACTGATCATTACTGTATCATGACTATGTAATTACCCTTTTCTCGACTTCGACAATGTCCCTCAGACTCATAGCCTCCAAGAAATACTTCTTCCACTTGCCGCCGCTGCTGCCTGACTGCTGTCCTGATACTGGCCCATTACCTGCAGTCATTCAAATGAAGGAAGTGATATCATTATGCAGGGATTGGGTAACTTTGTCTCAGATTCTGAAACAAAATCCTGGATTTAGCTCATGCTTCAATGATAATTATAAACCTTTAGGTCAGTCAGGAAACCCCATGACTTTTACAAGCCGATCGCCTCCCTGATTATTTAGATATTTATGATTGGAAATCAAAATCGAATTTTGCATTTTCTTAAAGGTTTTCATAACACTACAGTGTATTGGGAAAAACGAGTATGGTAAAACTGGTCATGCAAAGATTTTGTACTTTTTTGAGGCACTTTTTGATCATTTTGAAGCACAATTTAATTAGGACTTCAATATTACACCATATCACAGACACTGATAACAAGTAGTGCAGTGCATCTAAGATTTAACATTGTTAAACGATGCCTTTAAAGATCCTATCCGATGAAAATACAACTTTATATCAATGGAAAGTTGAATTAACGTTGAATACAAATATAAAGGAATAACAATTTTTTTCATCTCAGTATTGCAATAAAGCTAATCAAAACCTCATCAATTTGATTTAAACCTTTTCTTTCATTTATCTGTATTATTATACTTCAGGTAGTGTTGTGTATTTTTTTTTTTTTTGGTAATGTTGTATTTTGTCATGTCATTGTAATCTGGTACTTACATTTATTGTTTAATTATATAATTTCTTTAGGTTGGTCACTGATAAAGGTCACTTCCTTTCTGGCTGCTATTTATCAAGCAACTTTGATATTGTATGTTAATGTCTTTTATTCTTGTTTATGTAACAATGTATAATCCATGTATGTATTTCATTTGTTTAATTGCTTTGGTGAAATAAAATTGAACAATGGAGCAAATACCACTGCAGAAAACTTCAGGTCACCTGTCATGCATGCATAGCTGCCAACTTTCACAGCAAAACTTAGGAATTTCTCAAAGCACAATTAGGAATACAGTCTATTTTGCATAGTTTTCACGCAGAATATTTCAGGAAAGAGGAGGAATTGAGGGTTCAAAACAATAGCTTGAAGACCAACTTGAAGTCCTCCAAAATAGAAAATGTTTGGCAGCTATGATGTATGTAAGAAAAAAAGAAAAAAAGGATTCGGAGGGGGAAAAAACGACATCTAACAACATTCCCCCCCCCCCCCCCCCTCTTGAGTAAGAAAATTTGGAAAAAATCAGGAATAAATCGGGAAACCAATTCAAATCAGGTAATTATCAGGCCTGATGTACTTACTCTCCGTGCTGCTATTAGACATTTGACTATCACCGGATTCACTGGGTCCCCTGGGGATCGACCCTTCAGCCCCTTTCATACACAGGGCTTCCCTCAGCCTACGGATCTCAGCTTGGAGGTGCATCACGTTGCCCTGGGTGTCTTCGTTCACCACAGCCTGGTAGGGTAGATAGAGGATGGCCAAAAGGGGAAAGGAAGGGAGGATAGAACAAATGATGCATGATCAAATGAAGAATAAATTTTACCATTTTACACTTTAAAACAGGGTGAAATTGCAGAGAAACACCGTTGGGAAAGTTTTTTGCCCTATTTTCCTTCTTCCAATTAGATTTCAGCTGACGCTCTTCGTATATTTATCATCACCAAAAAAAGATATAACAAAGATCTGCATCAATCCCAGATTTTAAAAAAAACATGCCAGAACACTTTTTCAAATTTGTATTTATATTCACATTGTTTTACTTGATTCTGACCTATTTTACTCACATTTTTCGGTAAGAAAAATATTTCACTTAGACTTTAAAAATCAGCTTGTCATACTAGTGTTGAATAAGACATCTTCGGTCCACATACTCTCAAATATATTGTTCCAGTGAAATTGTAGATAAACACACAGGGATGATATGTATCTACAAAGAAGGAAAAAAGGGTTCTCAGTCTGGAAAGAAGTGAGGAAATCTCCAAAAGTTTTTTAATTTTTGTTGCATGATTCTCTTTTTAATAACACCTTTTATGACATTATGATCCTTTCAATGCCACTTTAAAGATAAAGACCAGTTATGGTCATGCGATTACATTGTGAAAGAAACGTTGTGGAATTGATCAGAAAAGGTCGATCATCTAGCATATAGTATTGGTGTGTACAGCAAGGTTCTGGAATAATCAAAATGATAAGAAATTTGGCCCAGTCTTGGTAAAGTTACAAGCACTGTACACAGAAAGATGTATATGGGACTACGCGACACGTGCGAGATATCTATCAGGTCCAAATAGATATTTATAATTTACTAAATATATCAATTAGTAGGTGGTATCTCGGCAAACATCACGTATTAGTCAAAACATATTCTTTCACATGATTGGTAATAAGAGCTTCCATTTCGTTTTTTGCGAGGGGGCGTTTCCAAAACTGGTCTTTATCTTTAAACCAGGCAGACTGAAAAAGCAGATAAAACCTTGCATAAACTCCACATTTTCTTTGATATCCTTACCCTGTTTTTGATCATCTTTGCTCGCCTGGCAAATTTCAGGGTTGAAAGTGTCTCACCAAAGCACCTGAAAAAGCAGAAAAAGAACATTTGAAAATATCAATCTAACAGTGCATTACAGATGAATTATGTCTTGCATCATGACATGAACTTCAATTGAATGTCAGTAAAATACCTGTCAAAAAGCATCTGGTGAAGATGCACGTATCTCTTGAGGCCATTAGATACTATTGCAAGTCTATTATTAGTATCTATTATAGTACATTACCAGAGACGCCAACCTCTTGACTAGTGCTGTAGTCAAACGTTTAACCGTCCGGTATCCGATTTATGCCCCTCCACCTGGCACTATGCCTGGCAATGTCTCCCAGCTCAGTAATCTGTGAGTTGACTCACCGCTCCGAAACTAGAACAACACTCCAATTTGTCTGTCAACTTGGTTTGAAAGTAATCTTTGTAATAGATCTCAATATGTAGTTTATAATAATAATAATAATTCATCCAACTTTTACACACGGCGTACCACAAGGTTCTATCATAGGTCCTCTACTGTTTTTAATTGACATTAATGATCTTACACATACTTCTAAAAACGACATTGTTACTATTATTTGTGACAAGTTCACAAGCACAAATGGCGCCTACAAATGCATCTCACAGTTAAATGAAAGTCCTTCCTGCTTGCTGCAAAAAAAAAAAAAAAAAAAAAAACTATTTAAAAAATAAAAAAAAAATTAAATAAATTGTTTAACCGAAAACCGTCCAGTTTTGACTGGCGGTTAAACAGAATTGGAGATATCCGTGATGTTACAGCACTACTCTTGACACAAAAAAAAACAGACTGAGTATCCTAAAAAATCAGATTTTGGAGAGAAAAATCAGATTTTCACGAAAACTCGACACTACCACTGGCCCATCGGCTCCGGGCCAGTGAAATTTCAGAAAAATGTTTTACTGGTAAGTACGGTCTAGTATAATTTTAGCTCTTTTTCTTAAAATTTAATGAGAATTTTTTTTTTTTAATGAAAAAGTTTAAGAGGTGATATCCTATTTCTCTCTTATTATCGTACTAAATATGATTTATTCGTACTGGTTGGCATCTCTGCATTTCAAGTCTCCCTACAAAATAATGCACAAAAGTCTCCCTACAAAATAATGCACAAATGTACAGTACTGCGCAACAAGGCTTTAAATCAATTCAGAGCAGTTACTGAAGACCTCAAGTGTCTCTGAAAAAGGCCCAGATGCAGAAGGGTTTATCTACACTATGTACATCAAATTATCATGGATGGCTTTGGTTAGTTACATGACACTTACTTGGCATCGGGATGTACATTAGCAATGATGTAGGTCTTAGCATTGCCTCCCAAAGAATCCTAAAAGTCAAATAAACACAAATAGGAATAGATCAATCTGCACTTTTCAAACTTTCACCCCAAAAAAATATGTTTACAAAACAGGGGGCAACCTGTAGTGTTATTAGGATGCAGCGTAAGACTGCTATTCTTTGAAAACTTTTGCAAGTTTGAAATTGCATTTGAATATTATCATATAAGGAAGGGTGTACTCATTTCTGTATGTACCTGTAACTAAGGAGGTAAAGAACAAAATGAAAACAAGCATAGATTCAATAATCCAGTAAATATTATGCACCCCATTTCATCTTCATCAGACACATTCTTGTTGAGGCATTGTACACATACATGTACAGGGCCCCGTCTTACAAAGAGTTGATATGAAACTTATTTGCGATTGGTATCAATCGCAACTATGTACATAAGAGATAGGAGACTGCAAACTTGCGATTGATTGGAGGACTTACGATTGATTTGGATCAATCGTACCTCTTTGTAAGACGGGGCCCTGGTAAACAAATCACAGACAAATTATACCTTGGTGAAAGACAGAAAAGACAGAGAGGAGGAAAAGGAAGGAAAAAAAATCAAAATAAAGAAAAAACATAGAAGGAATAGACAACGAGGTAATAACTACAAATGAGAAATTTACCCTGAGGAGGAAGCTGAGCTTGGAATCCCTGTAGGGGACATGCCTCTGCTTGCCATGAGCGATGTCCACGAGAGCCATGATGACGTTGCCTAGGATAGACAAGGACTTGTTGATACTACCGGCCTCCTTTAACCTGACTCCTATGGCCTTGGTGTCCTTCTGTCTCTCGCTCCCTGCAAGGTCCACCAGGTGGAGCTGGGAGACTCGGATGTTCGACACTCCTGCTTTCTTCTCCTATTAAAAAAAATAATGCAAGCATTATCACAAAGACTTGGGTTTGTTGCCAGGTAGAAACACAGTCAAGAAAATAGAATCAGTTGACATCCATTGGGCAAAAGAAAATTTGAAATGTGCGTATAATTAAAACAGCAACAAGTACAGAAATTGCTCTTTGATTACAAGGATAATCATTTTTCATAAAATTTTCATAATTATACAAGGCGGGTGTTTCACAAAGATCTTAAGAGGAACTTATCTTAAAGTTGGACTGAACAATTATGAAAAGCCATTGGCATCTTTGAAAATATTTTGTAAAAGTTATTTTAAAATTTATAAAATATTGATTCAAATCATTCATATTTTCTATTATCATGGGAGATTTCATGTTCTTGATGTGGAATTTATGAAAAGTTTAAATTACTTGAATTTTTGCTTTTGAATATATCTTATTTTATGGTTATAAATGGCTTTCCATAATTTTTAAGTCCAATTTAGAGTTAAGTTTGACTTAGAATCTTTGTGAAACACCCCCCAGTATCTGAAACTGAAGTCTGGGGATAGCATTGTAATCAGAATTAATAAACGGTCTGAGTTTGAGGAGCATGAATATACATATCGTTCAATTCAAAACATGCAAGAGATTTTCATCATTTCTGCATTCACTTTACAGGGGTGATAGTGAGCACTAAAAAAAAAATAGGTTTTTTGTTTTCCCCTCAACCACGCCCCCCTTGAGTAAAAAAAAACAGAAGAGGATTTGCGGGGAAAAAATGGCATGTATCAACATTCCCGCCTTTCAAGTGAAAAAAATTTGGACAAAATTAGGGCAAATTAGGGAAGAGTAGAGAAAATAAGAGGGAAATCGGGAAAATCAGGATAAAATATGGAAGAAGAAAAAAAAATTCGGAAAAAAAAAAAAAAAAAAAAAAAAATCCAGATTTTTTTTTTTTTTTTTTTTTTTTTTTAATAAATCGGGAAGAAAAAAAAAATCGGGAAAAAATCGGGAAAAATAAAAAAATCGGGAAACCGATTTAAATCGGGTTTTTATCAGGCCTGACTTTAGTTTGCATACCGAAGGCAAATCTTGTTGTTGGATTTCAAACTGTTAAGGTGATTGTTACCTTAGATTCTATTGAGACAGTAAACACTGCATGACTCCTGGAGCTCTCTCGGTTCATAGAGGTCGCTGCTACTCTCCTGTTGTGCCATCCAGCTTGAAGGACCTAAATAATCGATTGGGGAAAAGGTATGTGAGTGCATGTTTGTTTGTTTATTTGTTAATTTAACCTGACTGCTATTAAAGGCAGGCTTTACTACTTCAGCTAGAAGGGATTAGACCACCCAGCGAGCCAGCGAGGTCACTGTGACAGGTGGCTATCTCATTAACTCAGCTCTCATTTAACAATAGAAAAAGAGGATCATGGGGGACCAACAGGCACTGATTGGGGAAGTTTTCTATATAGAGGGAGCAAGTAGCTACAAGTAGGACAGTGTGCCTTTAAAGAAAGCATGTGTATGCTTGTAAGTATTCAAGCAACCAGGGGACTGACATCTTTAAGTTCTCTCCGATGGACTTGATAATGAGGATTAATCCTTAATAAAGGGCACTAGCGCATTGACTTGGTTTTTAACCCGGGACCTCCCGGTTACGAGACAACTGCTCTACCACTGAGCCATCGCACCTCCTTCAATACGCCTCAATACTACATATATCATTTTGCACTCAACCAGTATTATGAGGGGTGATAGTGAGCATTAAAAAAAAATTAATGGTTTTTTTTCCCCTCAACCACGCCCCCTTGAGTAAAAAAAAAAAGAAGAAGAAGATTCCGGGGGGAAAATGACATCTAACAACATTCCCCCCTTTTTGAGTAAAAAAAATTGGGAAAAATAGGAAAAAATAGGGAAGAATAGAGAAAATCTGGAAAATTCTGGGAAAAAGAAGGAAAAAAAATCGGGAAAAAAATCGGGGAAAAGAAAGTTGGGGAAAAAAAAAAATATGGACAAAAATATATACAAATCAGGAAACCGATTTAAATTGGGTTATTATCAGGCCTGTATTACTTTCACTGAGCTTTTAACTCACAATTAAGTATGTCCAAGCCAGAGCTCATGTTCATTCACGTGTGAAACAAATAAGACATCTTAAACAACTCATGTACAGTAAATTCATGTGGAACTGCATTAAGACATTGAAAGCCAAAATAATTCTACTGGAGTTATATGAAAATTCATGTCATCATATCAAAGTCAAATTGGATTCAACAGGACTACTAAACCAAGTCCAAAATGAACAAGGATATCACACTTGTATAGTGTCACACAAGTATCAGGAAGGTGGTTTATTTAAATTTTTGTCAGTGTGACTACATGAAACTTCTGACCCATGCAGGGGTGATAGTGAGCACTAAAAAAAAAATGGCATCTAACAACATTCCCCCATTTTGAATAAGAAACTTGGGAAAAAATAGGGGAAAATAGGGAAAATAAGGGAACAATCTGAAAAATAGGGGTAAAATTGGGTTGGAAAAAAAAATCAGGGAAAAGAGAAAAGAAAATTGGGACAAAAAAAATTGGGATAAAAATAATAAATCGGGAAACTATCGGGCAATTATCAGGCCTGCCCATGAAAATTCTAACTGTTAGTGGGACTACTTACACCATATGCTTCACTGGCGCTAGCTACGGCCCTCTCGATCAGTCCGTCCACGAAGACTCCTTTCTTCATGTTCTCCCTGAGGTGGAGCCCCAAGGAGGCAGGATCCAGGAGATCGTAAATCTGCTCGTTGTAGATCTCCAGGAAGGAGCAGCGACAGAGGAACTCGTAGCGGTCACCGTGCTACAGGAATAACAAAAATAGGCAGAAGGAGGGTGAGAGAGAGAGAGAGATGGTAAGAGAAAATGTGATATTTGGAGAAGGACAGAACAAACTTAGTCATACCTGCCAACCTTTCAATGCAAAAATAAGGATTACGTCAAGGCAAAATTAGAAATACAGTCATTTTTAATACTTTTCACACAAAAGTTTTGACAAAAGAGATGAATCAAGGATCCATAACATTAGTTTGAGAGCAAAAAAATAGGAATCATTCCTCCAAAATAGGCAGCTATGCAAAGTGCAGAGAGGTGCTGAATCAGAGAGAACTGAACAAGAAGAAATGAAAGAGATATAAGGGGAGAGGGAGAGAGTATGATGAGAGAGTGAGAGGGGGAGCTTTACACTGGACGTGATAAAGAGAGAGGGACAGAATAAGGTGGTATGAAAATTGTATGCATGTAGATGTAACAAATAGAGACAAAAGGTGTGTAGAGTACAGACAGAAAGATAAAGATATAGACAGAGATAGAGAGAAAGAGAGAGAGAGGGGGAGGGAGGGAGAGAGAAAAGAGGGGCACTACAAAACAGGCACAAAGACAGAAAAAAAGAAAGAGATATTGACAGAGATACATGTAGAAAGAACAAGAGACACAGAGAGAAAGAGAAAGAGAATGGGCACTACAAAACAGGCAGCTGTTCATTAATTTGACTGTGTGAAATACTTTATGCCTAATGAATAATGCTAACATCTCATTTATAATCATTTCTGGTTTTCATAATACTTTGAAAATGAGGGGGTTAACAAGAGCGATACACACTTCTGAAAGAGATGTCTCTAAGTCGATTTTGAATCATAGATAAATCAGCTACTAGTATGACATAGTGACCCTATTCCTGCCTACCTTCTCTCTCTCTCTCTCTGTTCACAAGACTGAAGATATGTACTCAAAACTTCCCTGGAATCTCTCGTTGCGATGTCTTAAATTGATTTTGAATCAATGCAAAAACAGCTAAGACATAACGACCCTATTCCTTCCTACCTTCTCTCTTTCTCGGTTCACCAGACTGAAGAGATACTCAAAACTTCTTGGAATCACCCCTCGCATTTCATGATGGAAGTTATCTCCATCTTCACAGGGCCCTGAACAAAAGAGTGAAAGAGAAAGATGAAAGAAGACATTGTTTCTATTTGAAAGGTATAGACCAGTTCTGGTCATGCGATTGCATTGTGAAAAAAACGATCAAAAAAGGTTGATCATCTAGCATATTAGTGTTGGTGTGTACTGCAAGGTTCTGGAATCATCAAAATGATAAGAAATTTTGGCCCAGTCTTGGTAAAGTTGCAAGCACTGTACACAGAAAGATTTATATGGGATTACACGAACAAGTTGCATAAAAATACGTCCCGATTTATATGATATTACATGCTGTATTTAGAATATTAAGGCATTTTAAGAGCCATGTTTTTCAGGGGAAATTTTTTATCTGATGTTCTTCTACACTTGATAATACAATGATAATACTCACAAATTATTATTCACCTCTTCCCAGAACTCAACCTTCTCTTTAATATTTAAGCCTTGATATGATATGAATTGGGAAAAAGTGGCGTTTTTTTCTTCATGATGACCCAAGTGTAATACGCTTCACATTTCTGTATCTTACAACACAGAGCACAGGAAATAAAAGTCATAATAATAATATGCATTTATAAAGCACAGACTCTATGGAAATATATTCAATTGCACTGCACGAGCTCCTGTTGTGCTTAAAAAATATACGCATAGGGCGCTTGATACACACAGTTGCCATTTATTTACACCTATTTTTTTTAAACATGCTGCGGTTTAAGAAGGGAAGTTAAAGGGGTATCAAAAATAGTTAAACCTGAAAACTGCCATGTCATACATAGTGTTTGTCCCTGAGGACATTGTTTATGATTCAATGAAGTCATACACTGTAAAATAGTCTTGCACTGACTTACCAAGCATCGTGAATGTCTTGCCAGAACCAGTCTGCCCACTTTGAAAAGGAAAAATGAGAAATTAGATGATTGATATTCAAAGAACAAGTATTACATGTGTACCTGTAGCTATTCAAAATGTTGAATTCAGAACATTTTGCAAATGAAGATTTATATTGTAAATCCTTTCAATATTATTTCTGTAATAAATTCCTACAAACATATCAGAGCAAAAATCTGTAAGAAAGTACATTACAAATATATGTAATTTATTTTTATAACATACAACAGGACAAGATCCCTGTTTCATCAAACTTGTTATCAATGACAAGTATTCCTGTTACAAGCTACTGAAATTGTGGCATTTGATTGACTGACAAGTTTATGAAACATGGTGGCCCAGAATGAAAGCCTGATATAGAATATTATACAAATAATGAATGGTTATGAGTTCAATAGTGCGAATATTTTCATGAGTTGAAAGATTAACATTCTATTCAACGAGGCGTCAGCCGAGTTGAATAGAATTAACGTTAATCTTTCAACAAATGAAAATATTTGCACCATTGAACGAATGAAAAACTTCATTATTTGTTTTATACAACATCAAAGAAGATCTAATAGAACGTTAATCAACAAATTATGCTTTACTCCTTATATTAAAGATATATTAACGTTGGAGTCATGCCTTCTTGATTACATATAGATTGCCTTCGCGTCAGATACACGCAGGGATACGCGAGCGCACGGCAGAAAGGTACGCAGTGTGCATATAACCAAAAATGCATGACCGTGCAATATAACATCTATTGAATATCATGTGACCAACAATCCTCCAATCAAATGACAAGGATCCACGTAGGTGTTGTATAATACTTACTATGCAAATATAGTGCCATTAAATCCTCCAACACAACTTTCAATAATTCTCTTTCCCACTGCTGTGAAGACCGATTCCTGGACAGAACAAGAAGAACAATCATTAGCTTGATTTCTATTTTTGTAGCAATCCCCTCCCCACCCCAAATCTGTCTCTCTTTCTATCTCTCTCCCTTTTTTTCTCCAGTTCTATACCCTCCTCTCCTCTCCCCTGATCTCTTGTCTTTCTTCCATTTTCTTTCCATTCTCCCTTTGTCAAGGAACTGTTCTACATCTACATGTAAGTTCCACCCACATTCTTTAAAATTAAATCATCTAAATTGCGATTAACTCAGCCATGTTACCAAATTTCCCATGTGTACAGGTGCGTAATCCCTCATCTTAAATCTATCTTCTCTTACTCTCTCTCTCTCTCTCTTTTCATAACCTCCCAGATGGCCTGACCCTTACCAGTTGCCACAGAAAACCTCCTAGCCCCCCCCCCCCTCCCCTACCAGCATTACCCCCATCCAAGAGCAGTCTGTCACTATTTGGAGGGCATTCATTACCTGTGTGGTACCAGTATTTGCAGCAGTCACATGATCATAGGTGAAGACCTTGTCTTAAATCTATCTTCTCTTACTCTCTCTCTCTCTCTCTCTCTCTCTCTCTCTTTCATAACCTCCCAGATGTCCTAACCCTTACCAGTTGCCACAGAAAAACTCCTACCTCCACCCCCCCCCCCCCCCCACCGCCATTACCCCCCATTCAAAAGCAGTCCATCACTATTTGGAGGGTATATTAATACCTGTGTGGTATTTGCAGGAGTCACATGATCATAGGTGAAGTCCTTGTCTTAAATCTATCTTCTCCTACTCTCTCTTTCTCTCTCTCTCTCTCTCTCTCTCTCTTTCATAACCTCCCAGATGGCCTAACCCTTACCACCATCACCCCTCCCCATCCCCCTCCCCCATCCAAAAGCAGTCTGCCACTATTTGGAGGGCATGATAATACCTGTGTGGTATTTGTGGGAGTCACATGGTCATAGGTGAAGACCTTGTCTTAAATCTATCTTCTCTTACTCTCTCTTTCTCTCTCTCTCTCTCTCTCTCTCTCTCTCTCTCTCTCTCTTTCATAACCTCACAGATGGCCTAACCCTTACCACCATCACCCTCCCCATCCCACTCCCCCTACCACTATCACCCCCATCCAAAAGCAGTCTGTCACTGTGTGGAGGGCATAATACCTGTGTGGTATTTGCAGCGGTCACATGATCATAGGTGAAGACCTTGGGTTCTGGTTTGGAGTGCATGATGATGGTGTCAGGCAGCCGCACCTCCAGGCACTGCCCAAAGGCCGCGTCCGCATCATGGCTCTCTGACGGCCTCACCCGAACAAATACCTTGATGGCATCCCCTTCGCTGAAGGATTTAAAGAACACAGAAGATATAATACAATAATTTCAGATGAACTCAAAAAATTAAAAACTATAGTATCTCAGTGTACTTTTCAGAGAGATAATATTCAAATTTAAATATTTTTAATGCAGGTTGTCATCTTCATAACTGACCATAAATATCTAATGAATACATTAAAACCTACACTGTGTTTTGTGTTTGGTGGTAGTGGTACCATTATTTCAGTTTTTGTAGGTGTTGTCGTAAATGTGGAAAATTTAATATTGGTACCTCTTTGACATATACCATTTCACTCTAAAATAAATTGTATGTCTCACTCTCTATTTCCTTCCAAATTTGTCTTTTAGAAGTAAAATCTGTCTTCTAATTGGTCTTTGGACAGATTTGACTGTAAATGACAATGACATGTACACAGTAAAAGAAAGAAAAATACTTGTTGTACATTTAACCCTCCCAGCACAAGGATTAACTTTCAGGTTGAAATTGAGAACATACTGTTCTTCAAATTGGCAACACTAATATTTTTTCTCTCAATACTACACTGTTAAAATAAAATGGAATGTCTCTGAAAACAATATAATTGACAAAAAGTCAGACAGGTTGGGGAAACATTAGTTACCTTGCATCGTTTGCTGCCTGTTCCTTGAGTTTCTCTGCAAAAAAGAAAAGATAAATCAAGCCAATATTAAATTTCATGTCAATCTCAAGAAACATTTTAAGTTCTAACTTCTAACATGACCTCACGGCTAGTTATCTCTTGCAAGCATAAGCAGGGAATTACCTAGACCAATTTACTAACATCAAATCTTAATCTTATGCATACTTTTTAACAAAGTTTGTTCAATGTAGTTCATTCTTTAATGACAGGTTAATCATGGAATAACTGGTCATTAGGTTCCCAGTAGAGAAGCATACAGTATGTATTTGAATATTTTAGTAAACCGGACTATTATCTAATCTTGCAGAATTTGAAAAATACAATGTAGTAAATACTCTAATCTTATCTAGAGTTTCCAGACTAGATTATCATCATTATAATACATGTAGTTTTCAAACCATTTCATCCAGGAAAAATACATTTAGAAATTAGAAGGAAACATAGAATCAAGCGACTACCGGTACATTGATTTCTGGCCCTGAATTTCAAACTTCATACTTTGCCCTTTTTTCAAGCGATTTTCCATTTGTTTCTTATTCTTTGATTTGTTAATCAAGAATCTTCATAATTTGGCAGCTGGATATCTCATTGTAACCTTAATAATATAAACTATTTCATTATCTTTGTTCAAAGGTGTTTCTGTTTTTTTCTGAGAGAAATTCACTTTAAAAAAAATATTTTCTGACCCTACATTCCTTTGGCAAGACATTGATCTACATTTTCCACACTCCACCCAGGTGACGTAAATGGGTACCAGGTAGGAATTTATTCCTTGAAATGCTAGAGTGCCGTATGGCAGCTGTGCTTAAGCCAGGGTAATAATCGGGAGCGCCAGGAGGGTCAAATCTGACTGACATCAGACATGAGTGCTATACAAGAACCCATTATTATTATTATTATTACAAGTACATGTACTGTACATGTACGTACCTGATACCCATCATCTTCATCATCATCATGCCCATTGCCAATTTCACAAGCTACATGTATGTGTCAGAGGAAATTCAGCATCTAGCCCAGGCCAAGTAACATAAAATATTTTTCTATGTAGAAGACTACCTTACCTCTATTGTCAGAGACTTTTGTCAACTTTCTTTATCTTAAGTGGAACTGGGAGACTCTCATTTTCATTTACACCTGTACCTTAAAAGATATGTCAGATTTTCTGTTTACAATTCCTGCAAAGGGATTACATGTACCTCAGCTCAACATAAAAAGGTAATAAGTTGAGTCCTCATCAAAAATTCCCATTTTTGACAGTCTACTTTAAAAATTCACCATCTAAATACTAAGTTACACTTATGCGATGTAAATGTAGCTCCATTCTGTCATTTGTCTTCTTTTCAATGCTGTCAGTAACACACAAAACCACTAATTTGCTTTGTAAGTGATCTCTTGAAGTTATTGGTGTTGTTTCTTTTATTCATTTGTAATTGTAAGCAAAGCCTCAAACATGGGTGACTTTCTCCCAAGACAAGTAGGAGAGAGGACGTTACTACTACAAATGTACTTGCCTTGGCCTTGGGCCAAAACTTTGTAACAAAAAAACGCAACAAACTTGCTGAGAAGTATCAAGTCGACAGTCTACACAAAGCTATAAAAATAAAATGTACTCATCAGTCATCAGAAGGGAAAGAAGAAGAGGACATAAGAGAAGAAAAAGAAAAGAAAATATCATCAAAAACTAGAGTCTTACTCTTACTCTTAGTCTTACTCATATCTAATAGAGATTTAAGAAGAGTATGAATTTACAAATAAGTCAACAACAAAAAAGTGAAAGGCGCAAATATTCTCAAAAAAGAATGACACCAAAAAACAACATCACCATGCACCAGTCCATGTCCATCATCCAACTTCAAGTCCAAGATTCCATGATCTTCATCTATGATCTAGCTTGCTCTTGTTGATTAAATTTAATTAAGTCCACGAATCATGATCACATAATCAGTCGTCTTTTAGTTTAATTCAGTGATTCATCCCCAGAAATATAGATGCATGACATGTGACATTTTATCATTCCACTTTATTATTTGTTTATAGATCTAGACCAACCAATTCAAAATGCAAACAAACGGTTTATGCAAGTTCAGTGTAGTCCAACCGACTCGCGCTCGCTGGCATAGCGCGCAGCAACGACTCGAAACCCCGAGGTTACCCGGGCTCAACAGCTGCAGTTGAGGAGCGCCGAAGCACAGGCGTGAAACATAAAACAGATCACAAGGCAAAATGAGTAAAATATTAGCTAATTGCATTGAAATTAGGTATGAATATTAAGCTGGAGTAAAATCAGTTTTTGAACACTTACTACTCATGTCAGCTCCGTTTTGATTTCATAAATAAGTTGAATATAAGGTACAATTTTATGTACGTTTGTGCGAGGTTCAACAAAACTGTGTTCGAAATTTGCCTCCAAAACGTGAAATTGAGTGCGCCAGCTACGGCAGGTCAGGGTGCAATGTAACGAGAAGAAAAACATTATTTAATTGATTGATTGATTTTTTATTCGGCAAGCTTCCAACATACAACAATATACAATAATAAAAGATCAAAAATAAGTCAGCTTGAACAGGATAACCCACGAAAGCTCGAGAGCTTATTTTCAAATATCAATACGGATGGGGTAGTGTAGTAGGACAGTCGCCCCCCCCCCCACTCAGTGTTATTTAGGGTACGCGTATGCTCGTTCCCTCATTTTGAAAGCACCCCCTATCTGAGGACTGCCAACATTTCCGAACCCCCCTATCGCGGGCTTTTCGCGGACTTTTCCTGCCTTGGAGACCCCCCTAAATACGGAAAAATGCTCAATGTACCCCCCTAAATTCGGAACAATTTCTCAGGAGTCCAAAGAGATGAGAGAGAAAAAGAAAAAACACCCCCTTTTTAAAGAAATCTCCTGGTGAAAAGTCAAATACACCCCTTTTTTTACAATTCTCGGGACTTTGTCGCACTCGAAAAGTACCCCTTTATCGGACATTTTGGTAACACGCATGCGGTCATTCCGACCCCGGAGTGGGGGGGGGGGGGCGGGAGTCGCCCCCAAATAATGATTTTCGTTTCCCCGCATCCTCAGCTGAACACTTCTTCCGGGTTACAATATGATAAAATGAAAACGATGGTAAAATCTGTTTAGGCCCATCCTATTATACATGTATGAGCTATATTTAGCTAGTGCTTGGGTCCAATTTAACACAGAGCAAAGTAATAGGTAGGCCTAGGTGTTACTCCGGCATTTGAAGTCTTGTGCCCATCTGTCCTGGGCTTAGCCCAGTCCTGAATTATTATTTATCATCTCTTTTGCACATAATTATTAGCATGTTGAGTTCATACAACATTAATATTAAAATCAACTCTAAAATAACAATGACTAGGCCCATATCATAATTATTTATAAGGAAAGGTCCACTCACATTTGATAGTGTACAACATAAAAATTCAATAGCTAAATTAACCAATGGAGAAGAAGGATAGTATGCAAATGATTTGATTTGATTTGTTTTGTTTTATACATGTAGTCCACATGAATGGAAATTCTTTTTTCACATGGTTAGAAGGTATATACATTACATAAAGCATAGGTCAATTGAACAAACTTTAAATTACACATTGCTCATTAACCACCGAGTAGGTCATATTAATAATTTAAGCTTAATCTTTATAGAATCAACACTAAATTATTATTTTTTAAATCATACTTTTAAATTTTAGTATAATTATGATCACATTATCTCATTAATGACTGTATATTTAATTCAAATATTCATGTATGAATAATATTAATACATGTGAGGTGAAGCATAGTGAGAAGGTATTCTATAACAAAGAGAAGGATCAACGTGGGAATGTAAAGCATTAAGTAAGAATGATGATAACAAAAGTAAGGGGGAGTTATGTTAATGAGAGAGTTGAACACTGACTTGGAGAAAAGTAAACAAAGTAAAGATCATTAACCCTGATCACTGGATTCAAACAGAATCTAATTATGTACAAAATAGTTCACTACACTATGACAAAGCCTATTATTATAGTCTATCGTTATTTATATTTTTTTTTTTGTAACCTCTTTGAGCTCCATTGCAACCGGAACGAAAAACGAAATGTTTAGATTTTCCCCCATCTCCATAAACGCACAAAGGGGAAACTTCATCAATGTTTATACCACAAGCTTCCCCCACATCTTTATACAGATAACTACCTATGCCCCAACTGTGCCTGGGGTAGTGTTCCATTTTAATACCAACCCAACTCCACGGTGTCCCTACGTGTACTGTCTCAGCGGCAGATCAAAGAGGGAAGACCCCCCCCCCCCCCCGTGCACTCATACCAAACCATTCTGACATTATCTTAAAACGAGTATTGATTATGCCCCCTCCCACCCCCCCCCCGGCCACTTCTCTTTTGTTTGTAGCACCCTGTAGTAAGTAACCTCCAAAAGGAAGGTACCGTCAATCTGCGGACTTTCTTTTATTTTCCTTCGAGTTAAAGGAATCCGGTAACTTTGTCTCAGATTCTGAAACAAAATCCTGGATTTAGCTCATGCTTCAATGATAATTTTAAACCTTGTGATTAGTCAGGAACCCCGTGATTTTTACAAGCCGATCGCCTGTCTGATTATCAAGATATTTATGATTGGAAATCGAAACCAAATTTTGCATTTTCCTATATCACTACAGTCTATTGGGGAAAACGAGTATGGTAAAACCGGTCACTCAAAGATTTTTACTGTCTTGAGGCACTTCTTGGTCATTTTGAAGCGCAATTTTTTTTTTTTTTATTTATTTATTTATTTTATTTATTTATTTTTTTTTTTTTTTTTGGGGGGGGGGGGGCTTCAATATTACACCATATCACAGACACTGATAACACGTAGGGCCGTGCATCTCAGATTTAACATTGTTAAACGATGCCTTTAAAAGCACCCGAAACAAAACCTGACTTGGGCCCCCGCCCCCTCCTTGCCAGAGAATCTTTGATCCGCCACTGTGTCCTCCCATATTCTCTCCCAGGGATGAGATGATCCATGGCGATGATGCAGCTGAGCAGAAAATCCCAGGAGAATAGGACTGGCGATGGATACAACCATTATTACATCAAATAGCTTTATATGACGTCATCAAACTTCACGGACACCGATCCATTACAAACATCCCAAGGCCAGTGGTTGTGAATGAATGACTCCAAGAGCGTGGAAGATTAGTTTGTTGCACTATGTTCATCTTCGGAGACGGATACAATTCATGAATTGATCTGAAATAATGTGTATGGCAAAAATATATAAATCAGAGATTGGAACCAAAAAAATTACAAAATACAAGAATTAAATAGAACAAATAAACATACAACATGCTATTTTTTATCCATTAAAGTGACTCGGTAACATCGTTGAAAATTGATGAGAAAAATGCATAATTTGTGTATGAAATGTCACTTATTATATATTCTTTCTACTGTACTAACCCTCTAACATGCCAAAAATCCGGGAAAAATCCACAAACCACATATGTTTTTTTTTGGAGGAGTCATTGTACATTCTCCCAACCATTTTTGAAATAGTTTTTCCATGAAAAAAGACATAAGACAGGTTTTTAAAAATCTGTTAACACTTAAAATGTCTGGAATGGTATATAGAGCAAATTCATTGCTTTGTGACAATTTACATTCACCTAAAATGTAATTAAATTGTAATAATATAGTTGGGAGAAATAAGGAATCGATCAGATCAGTTTTTCCCAATTTTCATTTTCACTCAAACTTTCAGATTATCTTAAATTGTACATTTAGCATTGAAGTCACTACCTTAGCATCACTTTCTCTCATCTAAACAATGTTACCAAGTCCATTTAAGTAATATCTTATCTTAAATACTGCATTTCACAATAAATTGCTCAAAAACTTTGAACAATATCGATGCTTTGAATCCACATAAAACAAATTTCATTCAGACATCTCCAAGTTTGGAGTTTGATAAGTGAATTACTGGTGCCTTAGAAGAAAAGAATCGGCATCGAGGGTTTTTACAGCCACAAATCAATTAAGCTATTCAAAATGATGAATAAGGAAAAAAATTAACCAAAAATGAAATCGCCGAATTCGACCCGAAAACTACTGGATCTTCGTATTCCCCATATGTTTTTAACATTATAACCCGACCTATATTATTTTAGACCTTAGCTAAACTTGGGTGCACCATGAAAGCCCATTGTCATGGAATCTATGTCCTTGATTATTGCGTTTTACCTAAATATCAATGGAAAGCTTAATTGCAAAAAAGGTCACAACTATTTATACAATGTTGACGATTATCATAGAGAAGGGTCATCTTGTATTTACTTGACATAAGGTGGTCAAACAGGTTAATCAAAATAGCCGTATCATCACCTCACAATTATCAATCCGCCCTCGATCTTTTTTTTTTTCTTCTTTTTTTTCACTGTCAAGATCAGTGTGGCAAGCTAAGGCATGTGGGTAACACATGTTGATTTCCTAATTACAATGTACATCTATGATTTCTCCGTATATGATCGACCGACCCAGATTCTTTTTTGTTCTTCTTTCTTCAAAAAGGACATCAGTTTACCCAAGTCATCATTGATTTACAATCATGTTCGAAGAAAAAAAAACTAATCATAAGTTGAGTAACAAGCATAACACGTTCCTTGGGTATACTTTTAAGTTTATACGTTTAATTCTTACTTTATAAATTGCTATTTTACTTACTATCATAGATAGCAAAAAACCCACCATAATTATGTAGACCACAATATTGAACAGGTTTTCGTGAATGAAATGAAGATAAGGGAAAGGGAAAACAATTTACATCATTCTAATTGTCGCCCTTTGAATTTCACGCCGTCTTTCTTTTCCTTTTTGTTTGGTTATTTTATTGTATTTTCAAAATTACCTTTGAACACACACCAATAAAAACGTCATATTAAAATTGAAAAGAACTGTTCAACTCACACTTGCTGCAGTATAATTCAAAACATACACTATACGTGCACCGTTTTGAGAAGTAACAGTAAGGGTAGTTTTTCCTGGAGTTTAACGTCTTGCCACCGGGGGCGGATTCAGAATTTTGTAAAAGAGGGGCACACTTATCATACAATTTGCCGACAAGCCAAAAGATAATTAAAAACTGAGGGGGGGGGGGGGGGGTCATCGGGTTAACTTTTTTTGGTACCTTTTTAGTTTTTACTCCAGGGTTTTTCTGATAAGTTTTAAAGGGGGCATCATGAATTGTCGTTCGGTTGTGCCCCCCCCCCCCCCACAGGCAAAAAAAGGGGGGGCTTGCCATGACATTGTAAGGTCCGGTTCAATCTGTATCTTTCAAGGAGTCTCGGGTACTGATGAGTGCTATCGGATACCCATTAGCAATGTATACATCATCGATTACGTCCATTTAGGGAGCTGATGACCAGGATTCGGCTATAGCTGGAAAACGGAAGTATTTGTAATCATTAACCCCATCTTGTGCGAGGTTTTTACAACGGAAATCAACATTCACCCGGCAACTGCCCACTTGCTGGAATATTGCGACTCGGTCTCGGATCATTGCTGATGATTTATGTATGTCTAGTTAACGAAAAGACAAAAATATATCAAACCCATGTACAATGAAAAGAAATAGAAGAGGGGTGGAGATGAAGATGATAAGTGAAGAAGAATGATAACAAGAAGATTAAGAAGAAGAAGGAAACGAAGGAGGTGATGAATGAGGAGGAGGGGAGAAAAAGACTAAGTAGAAGAAGAAGAAGAAGAAGAGGCAGAAAAGAAGGAGAAGAAGAAGCAGAAGAGGACAAAGAAGGAGAAGAAGGAGGAGGAGGAGGAGACGGGAAAATATGAAGAAGAAATAGAGGAAGAAGACAAAGAAGAAGGAGAAGAAACTGACGAGAAAGGAGAAGGGGAAGAAGAGGAAGGAGAAGAAGAAAAAGAAGAAGAAGAAGGAGAGAGAGAGAGAGAGAGAGAGAAAGAGAGAGAAGGGGTGAGATAGGGAGAGGGGAAGAGAGAGAAATGGGAGAAATAGAAAATGTTGACGAAAATTGGAGGAATACGAACTGCGTTGAATTTAAACGAATATGAACAAAATAATGCAAGAAGACCGTCTTCTCAATTTAATAGCATTTTTTTTTATGTGGACGCTTAACCTTCCAAATCAAGCAATTAATTAACGGAATTACGATGTCGGCTAAATTTTCTGTCACAATCAAACTCTTTACTTCTCTCTATTCCATGTCAAAAGAAATAAACCCAAACCTATAAATTCATCGCTTACATATATCCAACATGATATACGATATGATTTAATACATTTCATCAGTCTTTCTAAACTGTCCATTTTAACTGTAGTCGACGGCGTCGGATCTATGATCTACCGCAATCAAATGTTATAAAGTTGTTTGAATTTGATAACTTAGTTATAAAATACGACATCATATAGATGGAGGCAACAATAATGTATACCAAATTTAATCATATTGAACAAACCATTACTCTTTTCAGTTGCATGGCCTATTTCATGTGTTGTCCCCAAAGTCTTACAGACAATTATCACATGAGGCCGCTTTAGGGCTGTTTCCTATCATCTCTCATGTTAGACGTAAATTCTGGGCACATGCCTGGTACTTTCCTTTTTGTTTTGTTATATTTTTATTCCCAGGGAGCATTTTGTTTTACAGTTTAATCCTTTTAGTGCGATGATACCTTTAATATATAACCATGGATATCTCTCTGTTTGCAATCTCATCTGAGTGGTTTAATTCACCCCAAACTGAGGCCAGATGATTTGTTTCCTGAAATGGAACATATTCTTGATGACATGATAGTTTTATTGCAATACTTTCTTTCATGTTTATTTTCTTCATCTCTTGTTTCTCAAAAAAAAGAAATCTGTATTTTGTGTGTAACATTTATATTCATGACATTGCAGTTGACATTTCTATCTCAGCTACTTTTTCGCTAAACAATTTACACTCATCCTCATCAATATTTATCACTGATCTTCTCTCCTCCTTTTCTTTCTTTATCTTAAATATTTTTGTTTCAGTTTGTTTCACTTTGTTTCACTTTGTTTCACTTTTTTAAAGTTTCCAACTTGTAATAACTCAACTGGAAACACAGATTTAAACAACCGATGAGCGTAGCTGGAAGTGGTATGGGGGCTACTCCCTTAAGCACTTAACATTTCTGTTTGCGGAATTCGAAATCCTAAATTTCTAGGTTTTCCAACTACTTAATATACATGTGTGAACAGCGTCACTTTATTTGATAGTCTTGTAACCCCCCCCCCCCCCACCTCCACCCCCACCTCCCCCAAAGAACTCCCCTGTTTGGGTACATCATGTACATTTTCGTCAAGTTTATGTCAAATTTGCCCTCCCCCTCCCCCCCTCCCCTCTCCTCATAAACTTGGCGACAACCTTGCAGCACTATCTCAAATAATATTGTAAGTCGTTGAAACAGATTTTATTATTTTTCAAAAGCTTTCTAATCGGGAGCAAACATATCAATAAATTATTACGAAAAACCCAAATCTATTTTCCTCGAATCGAGACTAAAATCGTGGAAGAGGCCGGAGAAAAAAAAACTTGGCATTCCTGTCTGGGTTTCATCCTCATCCTCCACCTTCTATTGTTTACTGCAGCAAACGTACGTCGTCTCATTGTCGCTAATAAGTAATAAATCACCGCCAATTTGCACCATCTATCTAATTGGCGCCCATCAATTGCCCCCTACTCGTCAGCAGGTCTGCTGCTATAGCAGCAGCTTGCTTTCAAGAAGATTTGGAACCAGGGCGCATGCGCAGAGTGTCACTCAGCTCCGGCCACCATCTGTTGACGTCGACAAGGAGGAGTTCAATGCAAAGTGGCTCGATGAAGGTCCTTGATGAAATAAGATGCTGATAATCATTGCTGCTGGTCTCTCCTGCTTCAGCTTGACTCATTTTTAATCTGGCTACCTGCTGGAAGAAGAAAAAACGTCGAGAAGTCGTAGGAAACATCATAAACGATGAAAGGCGCGGCAGCATAAGCTTGATCTCCGCTTTACAAAAGCGCCAAGTTTCGAGAAGTTGCAAGATGGAAGGCAGGTATGACTCGAAATTTTATTCTCAACAATGTCTGGGCGACTGTGCAGCGTAAATAAATATTTTGGGAAATATCACTGTAGCAACATTTGATCTTTTGAAGTACAAGGAGAAAGGCCCGAGGATTTCGATGGATGACTGCATGTTAGGCTTCGCTAAATTTCTTCGAAATCAAATATAAGGGTTCAAATTCACGAAAGGATGAACTATGCAATTACATCACTGCGATATTATACATGATATTTTGTGACATATATATCATGCTTTGCAACGTGACTTGTTATCAACCGGAGAATGCTTCATCAAAACAAAATGGACTTCGCTATGAAAAACAGAATTCTGCAAATCATTAGCCATGAGAATTAAAGTCTACATTAGGGTCTAGAAGGCATTCGTGTAATTAGCTTTACTAGATTCTGATTGAATTCATTAAGAAGGATAATTAGTGCATATGAACACAGTTTGTGTGGACCGTCGGGAAGTTGCCCTTATAAGTTGTTTGCTTAAACGAAGTTTAAGGTGAAACTTGTATGCCAGCTGTTACTCTCTTATATGTTGTATGTGGGTCATCTTGACCAAAGTTGCCGAAATCGTCATTGAACGTTGATTTTAATTATCTACCATTCAACATATTTGACACGAGAAGAATAATGAATCCTTACAAATTATGTATAACCTTTTCTGTTCTGGTATTAATAAAAACAATCGCTCCCTAACAAGCTCTGATTAATGCAACAATATCACCACACCTGAGCATCACCATTGGTTCTATCATCGGTTGGTTACGTAATCTAAGTCGATAAAGCGGAGAAGGAGTCAGGAAATATCATATTGGTATTTGTTCTTTAGATATCAACATCCTACGGACTTTCGCACGTGTCCGTAAGGCCTTTGAAAACGACAATAATGGCAGAGAATTCATCACACGCGACTGACATCGTCTGTCCACCAGATGCCATTGCCAATCTTACTTACAAGCACGATGTCGCTGAGTCGTTTGGATATACTCGGTCGGAATTGATTTACACCGCTGTATTCCTACCCGTTTTAAGTTTAATCGGGATCGTCGCCAACGGCGCTTTCCTCTTCGTCGTCCACCGCGTCCCGACGATGAAAACGATTACGAATGTATACCTCGTCAATGTCGCCATCGCGGACATCCTCTTCCTTGCGACCATTGTGACGTTCAAGATCATCAAGCTTGCGACGTCAGTCGTTGTCAGTGACGTCTCTGGTCTCGGCGCCGCCCTCTGCATTATTCTCTTCACAATCGCCAATGTCATGCGTTTTGCGTCACTCGGGTTCATCTCGGCAGTCACATGGGAACGCTTCTGCGCCGTATGTCGGCCTCATTCTCGACGTTCAACGAGCACGTACGCAATCATCGTCTCAATCACCATCTGGACGATCGCGTTCGTGCTCTCGGCAACCATCATTCCTGCATATGGGAAGTACATAACCGTCTGTATGATATGGCCCAAGACGGAAAAGTTCGCGGATTGGCCAAGTGAGATCTTGGTTGTGGGTCAGGTAGCGCCTTGGGCTAGCATGTACAGTAACGTCGTCCAAACCTTTCCGTTCTTCATAACATTCGTCATCAACATCTATTTCTACGTCCGAATCATCCGCGGTCTCGATGCCGCCATGATGTCCCGTACGTGGGATGGGCGAAGGAGCGAGTACGACACCGCGCTCCGCGGCCAGACGGTCCGGATGCTGGTGGTCAACGGCGTCGCGTACTTCCTCTGCCTCGCGCTCTTCCAGTTCTTGTCTCTCTACAAAACCATCATCATCCTCACCAAGTTACAGCCCGTGATGACGCCGAGGCAGGGCAAGATCCTTCTCGACGTCGCTCGCACGTTGGAGTACATGAACTCCGTGATCAACCCCGTCATCTACACCGTGATGAGCAGACGATACAAGGAAGCTTTCAAGACAGCGTTCAGATGGAAACAGCGGACGACCAAGGCCTCTAGGTCGAGGACCTTGAGTAATTCAACACCAGTCACCACTACCCAATTTCTCAGCAGGAATAGGAATACGTCACTATAAAGACGCTGATTTTGTTAAGACATTATTAGAAATTAGATCTGGGCCCCGTCTTACAAAGAGTTGATATCAATCGCAACTATGTACATAAGTCATAAGGGATAGGAGACTGCAAGCTTGCGATTGATTGGAGGACTTGCGATTGATTTAGATCAATCGTAGGTTACGATTCGTAACTCTTTGTAAGAAGGGGCCCTGATTAGCTAGTCAGTTGTGAGTTTTTAGTTCCACAGGAGATGGGTTCATAAAGTTATACGGAAGGATGTCTCTATAGCAGAAACACATCGTGTAGTTATGTTTAAAGTAGGTTATATTTTCAACAAATATATAAGAACAGAAAAGAAATAGGAAAGAAAAATTACAGAAAACTAAGAATTGAAAGAAGAAAGAAAACGGGAACCCCGCAAATCATCTTTATGATTTAGTATTCAAGAGACGGGTCTAGTTACAAAATAAAAAATACTTGCAACGACTTGCCAACTGCTCAATATATTGTCATTTGTCAAAATCATTTAGTTGTATAAAATTGTGTTCTAACAATTCAACCTCTGTTTTTTAAGGTTTTCAAGGTACACTAAATTAATGAAAACATCAACAAAAATTGTGTAAATCGGCATTATGCATCAAGTCTTCATTTACCATTCCTTTAATCGACTTCTTTACCCCTTCACCGCCCCTCTCTATCTCTCTCAATCTATATTCCCCGACCATGCCCACCCCTCTCCATGCTCTCTCTCTCTCTCTCTCTCTCTCTCTCTACCCCCCCCCCCTCTCTCTCTCTCTCTCTCTCTCGCTCTACCTCTCTCTCTCTCTATCTCTCTCTCTCTCTTTCTATCTCCCTACCTCTCTCTCTTCTTCTTCTTCTTCTTATTCTTCTTCTTCTTCTTCTTCTTCTTCTACCCAATCTCCCTCTCTCTTTTTAAAAATAAATTTTTGTCTTAAGGCTTTGTATTGCAGAACACAAAAAAGAGGTAAAAAGGTGTGTTTGGCCTATTGCAACATCTTATCTTATATGGCTAGCTTCGAATGAGTATCATAAAGATTTACACACATTATCCTATTGTATAGGATTTGCGATGTTACTGCTACGGAGTGTGTTGGATTGGCAGGAGTTAGCATAGGTTCAGAGGAATTAATTAATATCCAACGACAATGCCATGGTTACCGGGCAATCAGAGTGGATGATATGACAGGTCTGTTTTGAAATGCTTTCAAATTGATCGTGATTTTATTCCAAGCAGTGACACACTCATTAATTTCCCTGTTTGACTGTAACGTGTTGCTCCGAATTAATTACCTGTCATTCAAGTTTTGTACGCTTGTCACACCAACGAAACCGCCACGATACCGACCAAAGAATGGTCGGTCGGTTTGGAGTCAGAGCAGAGTCGGTTTTGCAATGTGTCCGAGGTATCAGCAATGTGTCAAAACTGTCTAGATTAATCTGTAAACAACTGGAACTTCTAATTAAGTACTTAAATATTTTATGAGTGGGCCACTTTCAGGTGTGAACAGATTTTATGTTCCTCATTGAGGTGTAGGGCAGCGTTCCTCTCGAAAGGACTACGCCAGAGAATGGGTTTGTTACTGTTAGGCATGTTAGGGAGCGAATGTTCTTGAAGATTTCTGAAACTAAGGCAAACAGAAAACAGGTACCAAAAAGTTCACACATTCTTGATAGACCCCCCCCCCCCCAAAAAAAAAAAAAAAACAAAAAACACAAACACAAACACAAACACAAACACAAACACAAACACAAACACAAACAAACAAAAACAAAAACAAAAACAAAAAAACATCGCCCCTGGCTGCCTTTTGGTAAAATAAGATATTGATTTATATTCCGTTTAATAAATTCGGCATGTTTTGGGGACATACCTTATCCTTTATTTGTTATAAGTAATCTGCAGTTCTAAAGACTTTTTTTTTTTAGAATGACATTTTACGGCCTTCCGACCATTTCCTAGTTGTCAAATATCTTAAAACTCAAAGCGTAAGCTCCGACGAGTGATCATGTATTTAGACAAAATAGCTACATGAATTACACTAAATTCTAGTTATATTTTTCATGCTACAATATCTTCCAGTAATATTGATAATATTGAGGCCAGAGCTATGTGCAACATTAATAGATAACGTAGATATCAGTGACGTACATGTAGCGTAGTTTCATATGCCGAGGAGGCACTGACGTCACGAGTCGCTGGGTCTTACAAAGGAGATGAAATGTGAATGAACAAGGCAATCGAGTGAGGGGGTACGGGAGGGGTCTCGTATCATCTTCTTGCCACGGTGCCTAATAACACCATACCGTTTCCTTCACCCCGCCCCCCCCCCATAATCCTCTTTTTTTTTACCGAGGGGAGAGGATCGGATACACATGCCTCCAATGCCAGTCATAGCAGCGCCACTGGTACTCTCTAAAAAAAATCGAGTGATCACTGACGTGACTCCTCTGGAGAGTGAAAACGTAGTAAAAATAGATTGAACATTCACTCTTTTCTTCTTAGAGAGATATTCACTCCTAAACAAGTGATCACTGACGTGACTCCCGGGGAGGTGGAAATAGAGTGAACATTCACTCTTTTCTTCTTAGAGAGTAGAATTAATCATTATCATTATAAATCTAAAATCTTATCAGGAGGTTGCATTTTCAGTAGCGTTTATAAATTAAAGCTTTGTGAAATTGTTTACGCGTTATGAATTTTAGTAAGTGGTAATGGTATTCCAGTTTTTAAAAACTTATGAAATATATGACAATTACAACGTTCCATGCATTAAAGTCTGAATTATCCAACCTACAGGTCACTTTTGTTTTATTACCCAATATTTTATTATCTTAAGACCATACGGTGATATAATTATACATGATATAATTATACCTGATATAATATTTGAAGGCTTCGATTGTGAGGATGGATTTGAGCGAGGTTTGCCGTAACACCAGGCATTCTTTCGATGGGATTACGAATAGAATGTGATGTACTTGAAGCGGTCATGGTAAAAGAAACGCTGTGGAATCGATCAGAAAAGGTTGATCATCTAGCATAGAAGTATTCGTGTGTACTGCAAGGTTCTGGAATCATCAAAATGATAAGAAATTTGGCCCAGTCTTGGTAAAAGTTACAAGCACTGTATACAGAAATATGTATATGGGACCACACAAACAAGTGGCATAAAAATCCGTCCCGATTTGTATGATGTTACATGCCATATTTAGAATATTAAAGCGTTCGAAGAGGGAACTTTTTTCATCTGATGTTCTTCCACACTTGCATAATACAATGATAACGCTCACAAATTATTGTTCACCTCTTCCCAAAACTCAACCTTCTCTTTAAATCAGGGACTTGGCCCTGCTTCATTCAAGGAAAAGGTGGATGTGCAGGAAGACAGATGGAAAGAGACAGTGACAAGAGAGAGAGAGAGAGAGAGAGAGAGAGAGAGAGAGAGAGAGAGAGAGAGAGAAAGATAGAGGATTGAGAAATAAAGACAAAGGGAAGAAGAAAAAGCGAGAGAGAATATATATAGCTATATACAGTTCGTCCGAGAAAAAAACGAAACCGAGAATAATCAATGTTTTATCATAACGTAATCACAATTATAATTAGTAAATGACACATATTTGGAAAGCTTAGATCCTCCCCTTTCGTTTGATGCAACTCATATGATTCATATCTCACGCATGAGTGATTAAAAGCAATTTGAAGAGAGGAAACCAAAATGTCATTTGGCAGGCGGTATCTGAATTTCAAAGGGAAAATCACATTTCTAGAAAGTTTAATTTCTTCTCTTTCATATGACACCTCAGTCAGGTAAAATGAGCCAGGATTAACAAAGTTCTGTTTGTTTATCGTAATGCTTGCATTTCCCTATTTGATCAAACGAGTTCGTTTTCACTGGCTACCTGCGGTAGCAACTAACAGAGTTGACAAAAGACTTAACTCCGTTTCGTTGAAGATCAGCCGTGCATCAGGTGTTTCGTCTTCTTTGTGCATGGCTGATCGTCAACGAAACGGAGTTAAGTCTTTTGTCAACTATGTTAGTCGCTACGGCAGGCAGCCAGTGAAAACGAACTCGTTTGAACAAATTATGGAAAATGCAAGCATTACTTTAAACAAACAGAACTTTGTTATTCCTGGCTCATTTTACCTGATTGATGTGTCATATGAAAGGGTAGAAATTGAACTTTCTAAAAATGTGAATTTCCCTTTGAAATTCAGATACCGCCAGCCAAAAGATGTTTTGGTTTCCTCTCTTCAAATTGCTTTTAATCATTCATGCTTGGAATATGCATCATATGAGTTGCATCAAATGAAAGAGGAGACTCTAAGCTTTCCCAAATAATATGTGTCATTTATTAATCATAATTGTGATTAAGTTATGATAAAACATCGATAGTTCTCGGTTTCGTTTTTTCTGGGACGCACTGTATACCTAGAGAGAAAGAGAGAGAGAGAGAGTGAGAGAGAAAGAGAGAGAGAGAGAGAGAGAGAGAGAGTGAGAGAGAAAGAGAGAGAGAGAGAGAGAGAGAGAGAGTGAGAGAGAAAGAGAGAGAGAGAGAGAGTGAGAGTGAGAGAGAGCGAAAGAAGGGGAAAGAGATAGAGAGAGGAAAAGAATTAGAGAGATGAAGAGATGGAGATCGAGGATTGTAGTGGTTCAAACATCTTTAGTGATGGGCAATATTGAACAGGGGTGGTAAATTATATCTAGAATCTCATATTTTTTGTGTGCAGGGGTGGTGTATATTGGACGGATAAGTGTCATTTTCAAATTCATTGGAAAGACCATCGAAGGTGATGAATATTTTTCGTGGTGAGCCTTTCGAAATAAAATTACCTACAATTACCTAAAGAAATAAAGAAATAAAGAGAGAAAAAATGTATCAACCTGAATTTCCAATAAAGCTGTAAAAATATTTTGTTATGATTTTGTGATAAAGACATGTTTTACACGAAGATATAAATGTTTGGGTACATTTAGGTTCAATCAAGTTTTGAAAG